TCATTAGGATTTGATGAATCCATCTCGTACCACCTGAGCCAGTTTGGTATAACTAAAATTTTTATTTTCGTTTAGTAATAGTATAGATCAGTACAATCGTTCTCTCTTATCTTTCCCACCACAAGTTAACCTTTTTTTTTTGGGCGTTTTCACTATACATTTTATTCTATAGAAATACAGCTGTATGTCAATTTGACGATTAATATTTGATTGATACAGGTGAGGAAGGAAGCAAGTATATTGATGAGGCATGTGTGGGGGGAAAAAAGAAAGAAAAAAAGAAAATTTCTAATTCTGTCTAATTTCAAAACGAGCGACAAATTATCCTAACCACTGATAAAGGCAACTCAGTTTGTTCCCCTTGGATTATTATCGTGCATGCTTGTGATTAAAGTATATCCCTTCCAATACATTAAAGGCTAAAATACACAAGCTATTAAAGACAATTGGCATTATTAGCGAGGTTGAGTCTAATGGAATGAACTAATTTCTCATAATATTTGTTAGGAGAGATAGTCATATTTAATACATGATAATATACCTTGAACAAAAATCCGATAGACCTACGTTTCTTATTTATATAGGAGCTTTCATATCAAAGTGATTTGTAAAACATATGTAATAATACTTTCTTGTCCTATTTTTTATTTAGTCTCAATGGAAATACAGATGTAGTACTAATATTGATTAAGATGAGACAAGTGAGAAAGGGAGCAAGAGTATTAATTAGTGGGGTATGTGTGGAAAGCAGAAATAAGTTGCATTGTGTGTGAGCAATCATGGAATTAATAAGAAAAAGATGGAACCACCAAGGGTCAATGCATAAGGTCACAGAAAAGGATGGGACCCTTTGTACATACCTTATGATATCAACCACTCGCCAACTAAACATCTGTCTCTATGGGGGCCCTCTCATTTATTAATTTATGCATTTTATTATGCATTGTGTATGACATCCGCACCATTTATTTCCTTGTTATCTCCATCCCTTCCTTTTCCTTTGAGGCTAAATGACAAATTAGGATTCCTTATTTCTTAAAAAAAACCTTAAGAATAAATATGAAAACTTTAATTCACAATCTTTCTACTTCCTTTTATCCTATGTACAAGAGAGTTTTCTAAGAATGATTTGTTCTTATTTATTTTTTTAAAAAAATACTAACATCATGTAAAACATTTTAAGTAATTATATTAATTAGTCTTATTACATTAATTATCTACCCACTCACTTTCCATAATAATAGTGTTTTTGAAAATAAATTGTACTTTTTACATATTTATTTGCTTTAATTAATTTTTTAAGAAAATTTAATTTATGTGATCTGGTCATTTACTCCCTCCAGTCCTTATTATGAGTTTCAAATAACTAATTCACGGGTAATAAATAATTAGTTAAAATTAATTAAAAACAACAAATAAATTAGAAATATACTTTTATTTTTAAATATACCCTTATAATGAATGAGAAAAAAGATAAAATAGAATGCATGAAAAAAATATAACAAGAGAAAAATAATTAAGAATAACATCTAAATTAAAACTTATAAAATGAACCACACTTTTTTTTAAATTTGAGACTTATAAATAGAATTGGAGGAAATATAATAATAAAAAGGACCAAAGGAAGTAATTAAGTTTTATGGATTTTGATTTAACTTTCAAAATTTTAAATTTTATTTTCTTATGATTTTGAACTTGCATTAATATAGGGATCCTTCAGATAGCTTTGAATCCTAAAATATCATTATTCAGTTTATTTGGTCCTAAAGTGTCACTTTCACCGTCTTTAATTCCCTCTCCTTCTACATACTTCCATGTTCCATCACACCGTTTCAGAAGGTTGCTTTTCCTCTAGCCAGATTCATATGTATTTCTTCCTCATTGTATTGAATCTTTTTCATCGTTAGTGCCTTTTTAAATTATTTTTTAATCCATAATAAGATATAAATTTTTTATGAAATATATGACTAACTCTTGGATCGAATACTTCTTTTACTATAACTCACATTTATGAAGACTGCTGGAGATTATAATAACATCTTTCTTGCTGGCAAAAATGATCTTTATTAAAATCTATTCCAACATAGTAAGTTCAATTTTGTTATTCTGCTATAGGTTAATCTTTTATTCATTTATTAAATTTGAAAGGAATCACATGTGTGATTACGCTTGTTTTTTCATTCCGAAAATAACACTGTACGCTACTACTGCGTTTAACTCAAATTAATTCTTACAATCTTTTAATTTAAATAAAAAAAAGTAGGTCCACAAAAATTAGTATTGAAATTTGAAAACGTCGCAGATGTAAAACGTGTACAAATATAATTAACTGGTTAAAAGTTGAACTCTTCTGAGTTTTAGTTGGTCAAAAAAATTCTCTGTTTTTTTTTATTATTATTAGAACGCGGGGAAGGGCAATGTGGTAATAAAAGCATAATATGTATATAAATATCATCCCTGGGGAAGTGTTCCACGCAAATTAGAGATAGGTCGGAATTTGGCGCAAGGTTCTTCTGCTGATTTTTCCAAAGAGCCGCCACTGATGGAAGCAGAGGATCTTCTGAAACTCTACGATTCTTGCTGGTTCGAGGTCGAAATCTTGAAGGAGACCCCTAAGTCAATAAAATCAACAAGTTCTGAAGAAAACCCAGAAGATCAAATTGAAGAAAAACAAATCCCAGATTCACCAAGACCGAAGCTTTCTCGCATCGAAACCATCCACACCAGGTCCATGAGCGACTCCTTAACGAGCTTCAAGTTCGGTTCTTTTTCCCCAGACACCGTTCTTCTTGCTCCTTCGAAGCTTCAAACCATTCTATCAGGAAAAGAAGCCACAGACACAGACCCAGAAATTGAACCCCCAAAACAGATGACTCTCCATGTCGAAGACAAGAAGAAGAGAGATATTAGAAGAAGGATGAACAAGAAGGAAAGAAAGAGCCTGTCTGATCTTGAGTTTGAGGAACTAAGAGGTTTTATGGATCTGGGTTTTGTTTTCTCTGAAAAAGATAAAGATTCGAACTTGGCTTCTATAATTCCTGGGTTACAGAGATTGGGGAAGAAAGATGCTGACGAAGAAGACGAAGGAGAAGAAGAACAAGAAAGACATTCTGATGACTCGGAAATCTCAAGACCTTATCTCTCAGAAGCATGGGAGTTTCAGGAAAGAAGAAGAAAGAAAGAGAGTAATCAAAATCGGAATCCTTTTCTGATGAACTGGAGAGTTCCTTCTACCGACAATGAAATCGATGTGAAAGATAGTCTAAAATTGTGGGCTCATAATGTTGCTTCTACTGTTAGATGATAAATCTCAAGTTCCCGATTTGTACTTTTAATGATAATGTAATATACTTTTCCTGCTTGTTAATTAACTTTATTGTAATATTTACTATACAAAAATTCGTAAATTATAATTGTAATATAAGAGGAAACAAATTTTCGTTTTCATTTAGATTTCCCGATTTGTAATTTTCAAGATAATGTAATATACTTTTCATGCTTGTTAATTAACTTTATTGTAATATTTACTACACCAAAATTCGTAAATTATAATTGTAATATAAGAGGAAACGAATTTTCGTTTTCATTTAGATGATGGGTTTAGGGTCTCCATTAGCGCAAGTTGTGTCATGGCTTTTGATTGCTGCGCATTGTTAATATTTTTATATTACATAGTGATAATAAATCAAACATCTTTAGGGGTAGTGGATGGCGCCAGCCGCCATGTCATACTAGTATAGTATACAGTATTTAAATAAAATACAGTTTGTTATTTTCCAACAGGTACTTTAATTAGTAATAAAAAATTTAATATAAAATTTAGTCATAAATAGTACTCGTACTATTTATCCCCTATGTTTCATAAAATTATATTATACCCAATGGCATGTGGTCACCGTGGCATTATAAAATCCTCCCTTATGGAGGGTAGTTGCGTGCTCTAGTCCACATGAGGTCATACCTCAATGGACTAAATTAAATAATTAATAAATATTATGACATCCTATAATAGCAAAATATCATAATTAGTTTCGCGCGTTATTCATACCTCAATGGGCTAAATTAATAAAGATGGTTTGCCAATTCAAGCTGTTGGGGTATAAATTTTGATAAATGCTTGTGAGCATTTTTATATAAATCGAAACAAAATTTTTTTTATATACTTATCTCATGTTTTAGGACTAAAGGGCAAAAGTACCCATGAATAATTACCATATGTGCAACTGGCACCATAAACAAACCGTGGGTCCAAATATACTGATGATGATTTCAAAAGAGTTCTGTTTTACCATAGCCGTTAGACCCACAAAACATCTATCAATTTTGAGCTATGGGTCCTATTTTCCTGTACATGTGTCATCTAGGCTGGCTTGTAACACTGTGTGGTTGAAAGGTTTGACCAAAATGAAAGTGTAAGGTGGCAAAGCTGAGTGTACATGTGGCAGGAAGTTGTATTATTTTTATTTGACCAGAAGGCATCCACGAGAGGGTTTAGCTGTACCTACAGTGTGTCCCTTCAGCTTGCGGGTTGTGAACTGTACAAATCTACATTGGATATGAAGTTCATGCCAGTCGTCAGCAACCTGAGGTACAGTCACACCTTGATCTTCGTCAGTTGTTCGTTGAACACCTTGACGGAGGAGGTTGTGCAGTTGAGGACTTCTAAGGGGATGCCGTGGTTGATGATCTGAAAGAAGCCAACTGTGGAGGCGGCGGAGCATATTTAGTCCATGATAGCAGAGCGACGATGGGGGGAGTCGTTGTTGACAACGCCGGAGAGGTCGATGGTTGGGACTTGGGACTCACTTCCAGGACGGGGTTCGAGGTCGAATCGGGAGTCGGGAGGGAAAACGAAGAAAGGAGGGATGGTGGAGATGCTAGAGTCGATGAGGCCTTTGACTCTGACTTGGGATTTGTCGAACTCCTTGACCGCTTTGGCTCGATCCTAAGGCTGAGAAGAATGGCCGTTGGTGACGGTGATCGGAGATGAAGCTGTTGCCATGGAAATTGAAGAAGGTGAAGATACAAGCTTCGCGAAAATTGAAGGTAGGTCGGCAATGTCAATGCGGTTTTGGACCGTTGAAGTGCTAAACTTGAATAGTAAAGTTACATATTTAATTAAGAAAAGACAAGGAATTGATTGTATTTTTTAAATAATTAAGAGTATTTTAAAATTAATTTTTATTGAGTTGGGAACATAAAAATAATACGACTTTCGTGCCACGCGTACGCTCAGCTTTGCCACCTTAACCTTTCATTTTGGTTAAACCCTTCAACCACACAATGTTACAAGCAAGCTTGGATGACACATGGACGGGAAAATAGGACCTACAGCTCAAAATCGATGAACATTTTCTTGGTCTAATGGCTGTGGTAAAATAGAGCCCTTTTGAAATCATCATGAGCATATTTGGACCTACGGTTTGTTTATGGTGTCAGCTGTACATATGGTAATTGTTCATGGGTATCTTTGTCCTTTCGCCTCATCTTTTATAAATCATAATTGAAAGGTTGCTTTTGAAAGCTTTTATCACGATTTCAAACAAGTCCTAAGTGATGTGGCCTTTGAATTCTAATTTTTGTGTATCTAATAACTTAATTAAGAAAAATCCACTATTGCTCTTGAATTCTTTAGGCTATACTTGAATGGTGGGAAAAATAAAAGAAAAATAAGAGAGTAAATACTAAAAAAAATTTCAAAAATAGTTCAAAAATTACTACTTTAATGAGTTTTCCCTCTTAATATTATTTTCTACTTAATTTTCTTCTCCTCAAACATAGGATTAGTCTCCATGGTCACAAAATATAATATGTGTATGTGGGGCCGTTTGCAGAGTCTAGAATAATTACCGTGAACCTTATACAACTTGCTAAACTTTTTTTAACACAATATGGTTAACTATTTGTTATCATTGTCAAAATAAGTTTAATTTTTAAAATATTCGAATATAAATGTTTTTAATTCGAAAATGCAAGTTATCTCAAACTCTAAATTATTTTTATAAAATTCGGGGTTGTTATAGGCGTCGCAGTGATAGTATTATGATTGTCGTTAAAAATGATGAGGGCAACAAGAGAAAAGTTAAATGGGACAAAATGGAATCACAGAATTGATGGAATATTGGTGAAGGGAAGCAGTGATTGGAAGGGAATAAAGATGTGATGGTCCATTTTCTTTTGCTGCAGCCTGCAGGAATAAATTCTTTCATGAAAAAGTAAAATCATGAAAAGCCAATCCAATAACAAGGCCACAACTCCAAAGTCAATTTAAAGTACAACATATGGCGCTTCTACTTAAAAAGAAAAAAAAAGAAAAGAAAAAAGTCAAAAGATGGTGATTGCCATGTGGAGAATATGGGCTCATGATTTTCCCCCAATAATCACAATTTAAACATAATAGTCTTGTTTTTACCAATTATTTTGTAATTTGTATTGTTGTTGTCGTCTTTTTTTTTTAATCCTTTTTTCGAAGATAAAATCATTGAATATTGGGAAAATTGGGAAAACGTTCCCCAATTAAAATAATTTATTCACCACCCTAAAAGTTGAAAATGTTAAAGTCACATTATATAACAAAAAATAGTAATCAACAAAAACATTCTTAATGTGCTTTTTTCTTTTAATTATAGGGTTAGTCCTAATCTTATTTCTCAAGTACATCTAGGGCTGTTCACGGGACGGGACAGAACAAGATTGGGACAAGCCCATCTTGATCCCGTCTTGATGAATGGGGACAGGACAGGAAATCCTGTTCTGTGTCTAACCCCGTCCCGGTGTTGTCTCGGTCTTGATAGGAACAGGATAGGACGGAATCGAGACGAGACCAGAACATCTTATTTTGTTTTTTTAAATATTTTTTGTTTTGTTGTTAGATCTATTACAATAGATTTTGGTTGTTTTTCTCCTTTTATTTTTAGTTCTTTGGGCTTAGTCCTTTTGAAAGCATTTTTTTCTTTTTTATTTCTTTGGACTTAGCTCTTTTTAAAAAAAGTCCAAATAAATAATAATCAGTAACATAATAACTCTAAAATTCATTTTCACTATTCCAAAAATTATAAACAACTATAAAAACTTTAAGTAAATAATAATCATTCAACTACATATGTCTTGAAAGCTACAAATATAAATATTTTGTATAACACATGCCTTAAACATTTTGTATTTTTAACATTTAGTAATTATAATATGATAAAAAAAATAAAAAATAATACTCCCTCCGTTCCTTATTATAAGAGACATTTGATGCTTATGGCATGTTCCTATATATAAGAGACACTTACAAGTTGTCTCTACTTTTTTGTGTTGATTTACTATTTTACCCATATTTATTATCTCCAACTCACACTCTCCCTCCCTCCCACTTTTCTTTCTTTTAATAATTTAATTGTTCTCTCTCATGCTCTCTCTCCTTATTAATGAGGGCATTTTTGGAAAAAAATGATACTTTTTGCACATTAATTGTTCTTAACTAATTTTAACTGTTTTTTTTATCAACGTACTTCGGTTATTGTCTCTTATAATAAGGAACGGAGGGAGTACTACCAAGACGAGACGACCCCGTCTCCTATTTCGTCCTGTCCCAGTCTCAATTTTTGTCCCATTCAAAAAATTTTTGAGGCGGGTCCGTCCCATCCTAATATGGTTGGGACCTGGACAAGTCAATTGGAACGGGCCTATTTGAACAACCTTAGGTGCACCCAATACCCTGATGTTTTACCGGTGCAATTATACCCATGATTTTTTTTAGTTACAATTTTACTCATAATCTTTTTTTTAGTGTAATTTCACACACACAAAAAAAAAAAGATCACAGTAAAATTGCACCACTAGAAAGATTAGGGTATTGAATGCAACTGAAAAATAACATCAGAAGTGAATTTGTACTTTTACCCTTAATTATGTCAAAAGGATACCTTAACCCCAACCCTTAACCTTTAATGCATTGTGCACCGTAATATCTCTTCTTGGTTTTTCCGCCCTAAGCACCCTTACACGGCTCTATGTTGTATATCGTTAACTTGCGAACATTTGGATTTATTGTGCAATTAGTTAGTCACCCCCAAAAAACTGAAAATTTTATTATGCCTTTTGATTGGTGTCAATTGCATACTTTGTTAGTTGGCCTTTTGTCTGCTGTGAGTTAGTGCCTTGGCCTGTTTAAATTTAGTCATTATACATGATCTGTATTGTACCCAACGGAAGTTCTTAAAAGGTTCCTTGTTCGGCCTTAAACCATTGAATAGGATTGTAGTAGCTTGAATCTTCTTCATATCGATTAGCTGGTTTATCTTTGGTGCTTGATTTACTTGCTTGTTTGACAGCTTTTGCTCTTTGTTCATATCGATTAGCTGAACTTGCTAGTACAAGAACAGAGCATCTGTAAAGTGTAAACCAACCCAACCAACAAGGAAACCAACTCCAAAATTCTTACTCTAGTGTGTAATTGTAAGCATTTGGGAAAGAGGAGTTTGATTTCATCGGTGGTAGCAACTTTGTTTGGCTTCGCATGTTCATTTGATTGCGCACACTTTATCCCTCAAAATGCTGGTTTAATTTACCCCGTACAATCCCCATTGCCAAAGCCATACATTTTCAGGATGATGATGCGCGTGTGTTCGATGAAATGCTTCATAGTTGCCTTCCTGAACTTTAAATCCTGTCACAGCCCGGACAATCTTTCATCGTATGCGCCATGTGCGTTCCGACATTGACGTCTATACGTTCACCCGTTTCGGGTGCTTGTTCTGTGTTATCTAGACCATGCTCTCATGATCAAAATGGGTTGTGATTGTGGAACTGTGGTCGAAACTGCTCTTATGGACATGTGCTCCAAATATGGCCTTATAAGTGAATGGTTGGTCTTTGAAGAGATGGAATACAATGATTTGATGACTTGGAATGTTTTGCTTTTTGATTTTTTACGGCACGATCATCCTCAGGAAGCACCTGGTGCCTTATGAGTTTCCTTTGTGTTCTGTGCTTAAAACTTGTGCTTCCCTCAGGGCCTTGAAACAGGGCAAGTAGTTCACGGTTTGGTGCCTTATGATTTATTGATTTTTTACACGAAGGTTTTGAAAGTGTTTTATTTGTTGAATTGTACTAAGGACGACACTATGCACAACTCGTTGATTGTACTGTACTAAACGTTGTTGAAGACATAGTCAATGTCGAGATGAAACTGCTCTCTGGTTTTTCTGTTGTGTTCTGCCACTCTCATATCTCGACCACCCTGTACATGACAATAAAGTAGTGTATAAACCAAGCGTACAAAATATTAGGAGTCATTTGGTAGCTAGAAATGGACCATATGCTCTGCTTTTTTACCTTTGATGATTTGTATTTAATTTGGATTTGTTAGAAATTATTTGAATTGTTGATAATTGTGGAAAAAGTATAAATAATGAGGAGTGTGGGGGTGAAATTGCAAATATTTTAAATTTCCTAATCGCCGTGTGGATTAATATTTGTAATTATATTTTACTAAAGATTAAATGTGAAGCATTGATTTCCTTGTTGATTTAATTAGAAGATGCTAAATTTCCGTTTTTGAGGAAAATTAGTATTTTTTTAAAAAATTTAATTTTCTCCATCTATTCTTTTCCTTCCACCTAAGTTGAATTTTAATTTCTGCTTACATTATTTTTATTGTCCCCCTTTCCTCCTAAAATGATGCCGTATATGCATTTGTTACCCTTTTGAAAGTGGATCCTTTCTCCTGTCCTCTTTTTCGCGTCGCTCTTGTTGGATTAAAATTTTAATAGTACAGATTTAACATTTCATAAAAATATTATTGTAATTTTATATAAAAATATATAAATAAATTTAAAAAGTTAAATTTTGATTTGAATGGTTAATAACTGTAGACTATTATCATAAAGTAAATTTTTCTCACTTAATTTTACTACAACCATGAACTGTTCAAATTAAATTAATTTATGTATTTTTAAGTAAAATAATAATAATTTTATAAAATGTTGAATAATTTAAATTAAAAAAAATCTAATGGTTGTGATATATTCTTGCACTCCGAGATAAACCTTAGAACACACGAGCAATGAAAGACAAATTAAAAGGACAAAGTTGACAATAATTCAACCTTGATAGAAAAAGAATGCTAATGTTAAGGAGACTCACATTTTTTAGGACACACTTACATTTGTTTTGGGCTAACTTAAATTTGTTTGGACACACTTCAATTTTTTTAGGACAAACATGGATTAAATTTAATACTTTTGACTTTTTCATAATTAAACAAAAAAACGCACATAGATAAGGATGAATGATTAAGGAAATAGACAATTATTTGAATATGCATGAGACGATGACAATGATAGATAATTTTCTTCTTGGTTAAGTTGTTCACATAACTATATTTGCGTCTAATGGTTATCCTAATAATCTAAATATATATTAACACTCAAGCATAGCATGCTTATTTATTTTAATTATTTAGGAACGTCTAACTGTGTTTATTGTGTGTCCTTTCTTAATCAATGTAACATGTAAGAGTTAATTTTGAAAATTACATTCAAGCATAATGCACACATACGTGCACATTAACTTATACTACCTCTGATCTTAATTGTAAGATCTAGTTGACTAATTTGAAAAAATTAAAAAAAAAATTTAAATTAGTTATTTGTAATAAATATATGTTATTTTTACTAAAACATCGTTACTAATTGAGTGTATTGACTAATTTGGAGTCTTACATTTAAGATTAAAAAAAGTCAAACAATTTCTTATATTATGGACTGAAGATAGTATTAGTTAATGAACCTTTTTTTTTTTACTAACAACAAATAAATTAATAAAAATATATTTAGATTTAAAAAAAATTATTTAATTTAATGAACTAGTTTAAGTTGACTTGACTTGTTCTTCTTTCTCAAATGGGCGGATCTATTTTTTCAGTAATATGCGTATTCATTTTTCATTGACTCAAGCGCTTCCATACCGTATTATCAAGACACAAGCACCTGTCCATGTTGAGTCATCCTTCTATATTAATTAAAAGTATTATATCATTATTCTGGTTAAGAATAGTTCTGCTAGTGAGGATGGCTTTAGTTATATTTAACATACATGCATGTTTATTTATTTTAATTATTTATGAACAATATCATGAGCTTTATAGTATCTTCTTATTTCTAGCTAGTTCATGACATCTAAATTTAGTTCACACATTTTAATTATTTTGTATATATTTGTATTAATTATTTAGGAACATTGAACCTATTTATTGTGCCTCCGTCCATTTTCTTTTTATTTCACGTTAAATAAAAGAACACGATAAGATATTTTACCTTGATATCATCTGGAATGTAATCAAATTTCTTCCATTGATTTTTTTGCCTTTGATGCCCAAACAAAATGCTAAGTAAATCAGAATAATTTTCTATACCATTTATAAAAAGAACAATCGTAAACAGATTCTAAAAGTGATATTCTAATTTTTTAACAAGTAGCACCCTCAATTAATAACAATTGGAGCTATAATTTTTTTTTAAATTTTTATATTCAAGTTTAATTTAATTTGATATTATTTTTTAATATAAATTTAAAATTGAAATGAATTGATTTAATATGAGTAAACAAATATCAAAGGAAATATAAATTTCATATTAAATTTGTTGCACTTCATTATTTTATTTGTTTGTATATTTATGTAAAAAAAAAAAATAATATACGTGATTTGTTTTTATATTATGCTGGATTTTCACATAACATTTGAATCATAACCTTAACTTTACATTTGATATTTTTAATATACTTAATATAGATGAAGTTATAAATTATGAAAATGCTCACCTCAATATGTTGTCTATTTGTCTTTTTAAGAAAAGAAAACTTTGTCCGATTTTCAGGTGGCTATATCACTATATGAGAATTCACTTATGCGCGCATGCGTGCGTGCAATTGTATATCGATTTTGTATTTAACGTTTTTAAGGTTCTGTATATATCTTGAACACATTTATTGTGATTAAATTATTTGAATCCTAAGAAATTTTCTTCCATTATTTCTTTCAAATTTTTTAAATTATAATTTTCTTTTTAAAACTTCGACTAGATTCAACTGACAAACTAAATTTTCAATATTTTATTTTCGGGATCAATTTTCAATATTTTCATATTTTGTTAAATCTTTAGTATTTATTGTACAAGTAAACCTTTATTATTAATTTGGAAAATTGAAAGATGAAAAAATAGAACTGAATGATCTGTAATATTTTAATTTTTTCAAAATAAAGTAAAAAAAAAGAAGCATATAACGAATATAAATAAATTAAAATTCAAATAATTTAAATGGTATAAAATTTTGATATATTATATCTGTCTTATCATTCAACTTATTGGATCATGGTTAATATTAGTTTTGAAATAAAAAACGTAAATGAATAATAAATCTCCAGTAAAATCCATGATAATTCATTATATTAAATAAGCGTTATCTCTATATCATACAAATATTTTTATGGAAAATACTCAGGTGAAGTTTCTTATAGGTTAAGTTCATGCATCTAGCACCTCGAAATATTTTGTGGTGCATCAAGCACCTTGAAGTAATTTTTAGGTGCAAAGTATTTTTTTTATCATAGCGCTGGATGTACTAGAAAATATTTTTGGTTGATAGATTCACTTAAAAAAATATTTTAAGGTGCTGGATGTACCAAAAAATACTTCACAATACTAGACACACCTAAAACCATATTTCAGGTTGTTGGATGTACCACAAAATATTTTAGAATGTTAAATGCACATAAGAAAATATTTTGAAGTATTGGATGCACTTTAATCCTTTCTTATATCCATTATAGCTTTCCAATTACTCATGACCATATATTCTAATTATTTTCAGGCGAGTTTATAATTAAATATTAATATTTTAAAAATAATACATATGATTATATATGATTGGAGAACTTGAAACTTGATATATAAGTATTGTAATATTTCTATATTCTCAAAATATTAATCTTTTTATATGAGTAATTTATGCATAACTAATTATTAATATCAGTACTAAAATTATGTATGAAACTTATCATAAATTATATATTTAATGGGTTGATTTATTATAATATACACAGTACCTAATTTTTTCTATAACGAATTCATTCGTCCTCCTTGGCCTCTTCCTTTCTGAGGACTCTTCCTTTCTTTATTCATTTAGCCGCGGTGGTCAAACGATGAAACCAATGATTTAATCCTGTTTCTATTCACACTGTAGCGTCGTGTTGGTTGACCTTCCACATATATCCGGTAATCTCACAGAGATTAAGGGTAGTATAGTAATATCAAACCTAACGATATATACATGTACACACACATATATACAATCTTAACACGCCAACTCTTGATATTCATATTCTGACCAGTATTAGTTTTCATCAGGTGCTTATCTTTTTGCTGTGACCATGAGAGCTGACAAGAAGGTTCTTGAGCTATACGATTCTCTCTGGTTCCAGCATTTAGTTATCACAGGAATAAAATATCCTGAAGGAACAAACAAAGATCAAGAACAAACTGAAGATGAATCTTCTGATTTCAAGGTTTTGACCATTCCAGCCATGGATTCTAGGTCAATGAGCGAGAATAGCTTCAAGATGCTTGACTCTTTCTCTCCAACTTCTGTTCTTCCAGTTCATTTGCCAGACCCTTTTCCAACGAAGAAGGATATAACCGAAGATTCAAACTCCATGATCTTACCAAAGAAGAAGAGGTCAAGAAAGATAAGAAAGCACATGAGCATAAGAGAGCTTGAATTAGAAGAAGTGGAAGGGTTCAAGGATCTGGGTTTTATCTTCAAACAAGAAGATAGGCATTCGAGATTGGCTTTGATCATTCCTGGGTTGAAGAGGTTGGGGAAGAAAGAGGAAGAAGAAGAAGAGATTGATGAGAGATATATTCAGAGACCTTACCTTTCTGAAACATGGGACTTTCTGGACCGGAAGAAGAAAGTAGAGAAGCCATTGAAAATGAAAATTCCTGAGGATATGAGCAATGAAGCAAAGATGAAAGATGATCTGAAATTATGGGCTTATGCCGTTGCTTCGCTCGTAAGATCATACCATGAATGAATTCTGATGAGGATTTCTTTTTTTTTGTTTTGTTTTTGGTCAAATTTGGGTTTTCAATATAATTGAGGGGCACCCTGCGTGAAAGAAGAAGAGGCTAAGCCACTAGAGAGACCAAAAAAGAATGGCGTTTTAATTAATTTCTTTCTATTAGCTTTCTCAACTTCTCCTTAGTTCTTTCGTTTTTTGATGGAACAGTATTTCGTATGGTTGTTTAATAATGATTCAGTTTGATTACTATATTCTCCTTATAAAATTTGAGTTGTTATTGCGAATACTGAATGGAATTGAAGGCTATGAACAGGAATAGTTTGTGGAAGAAGACTATTAGTAGGATTAAAGATGGTTTGTTTCAAGTTACAAGATGCGCTACTTGAGATGAAATTCAGTTTCATCTTTTTCACTTAGGATTTTTTTAATATGAAGTTATTTTTAAATAATTAAATTCGACCTATTAAATCTTATTGTCGTGTAAAATTCATTGGATATATTATTTTAAATATATAAGTTTCTAAGGATATTATTTAACATTTTGATTTAATTTAGATATAGATGACATCTTATCTTTCATAGAATGTTGGAAATTTTTTCTATTTAAATACTAGGCAAGTCGTTAAGTTACGAATGAAAAATTTCTTTTGATCGACAAACAATTACTTTCACTTTCTATTTTTTGATAGAATACTTTCATGTTGTAAGAATATGTCCAATTCATTGAGAAATATTTTCTTTATCAAGAATTCTAGAAACAAATTTTTTTCTAAAGTTTTAGCTAATTATATTTTCCACATTTTCAAGTTTCCTCACTCTAATTTCTATTTCATAGTTCCTAAGGTTTTTAGGCCAGCTCCTTAGAAATTGAATGTCAACTAGAAATCTTTCTCTAAACGACAATTTATGCTTGTTCCTCAAACTACCTAAAGCATGGCTATATTCTTTCTCAAAAGATGCAGCTAGATTTTTTTTTAAATTTTCTTGTGGATTAATAATTATTTGAGTAAGACAATGAATTCTCAAGATGTGTATGAGCTTCTTTTTTTTTTTTTTACCCTTCTTCATAGGCATTCACTCATTTGAACCCTTCTTTAAAGCAAATGTTTTTTCGAGATAAAACAGTGTCTTGTGATGATACGTTTTATATTTGTTTATCCATTGTTTCGTGAAACTGTATCTAACAAAATCAGCATACGCATCTTCACGTTCAAACTCTATGTCGACATGTGAAGTTAAATGTGTTTCGTTGACGTCAGTTTAGTTTAATATTCATATAATAATAAAATATATAGATATTTTAAAAAAAGAAATTACCAACCGAGAAAAAACCTTTAAGGCATTTGCAAATAAAACCATAAATAATCTATTGAAAGAAAAAAGGCAAGCAAATGATGAAACTAGTTCTCTGTTTTATTTACAAATCAAACTAGCTCTTTTATATATGGAGGTTATAAAGAAATTTTAGAGGGCTAAAAGTAGCTTGAGAGAGACAGAGGGTTTACGTTACTGCTGAGAAGGGAAAAACAAGACACATGGCTAAATCTGATTGGAATAGTGGACATAGTGATTCTAAGAAATTTAACATAAGTTTTGTCTATTTTCATGACACAATATATATGTACACGTGGGTGTGTCAAGTTAATAAGTTATCTAAAAGGAAACAAACAAAAATATGATTTTGGAAGTGGCGAATCTCTGTTATAATCTTAGAAAAAGTTATTAAGTAACAATATCAGAAATATATAGGCATTATATATTTCTCATTTTTTAATAAAGTGAAAACATTTCAGACTGTTGGTCAAAAAAATTCACATGACAAACAAGACATGAAGTAACAAACAGTTTGTTTTTTTGGGGAGAAAAAAAAATCTTGTTTTGATATTTAGTGTTGACTTTGGGTCAAAACAAAAAAAAAGAAGATATAGAGTGCCGACATTTTAATAACAAGGGAAGTGTATATGGGTTTATGCTTGACATTAACTTTATTAATAAAAAAAAAGCATTATACAAACATTTATTTAATATATTATGTAAACTAGATGGGGATCCTTTGTATGTTGAATGGGTCTCAATGATTTATAACAGAGATAGCACTGTTAATCAGGGAGAGTTGTTGTGCTCATATATCAAATATGCCTGAACGTTTGTAGATTTAATTTTTTTAAAAAAATATTTTAATATGTATAAAATTTAAAATAAAGATAATATTTTAAATACTATTTTTAAAATTTTTTTTATAAAAATATCAATTGAAAATTTAAAATTTGGGCAATTGAAAATTGAACTTATACTGTGCGAATCCTATCCTAACAGTGAGCATGACGGTGTTTATCTTCCATTACACATTAATTTGGCTTCTTTGGAGGTCTAGGGAGTATTTGATTTAATTTATTTTAAGTAATTTTATACTGTACAAAGTAAGTATAAGAGATAGGCCTCGTAATTTGTAAAGGCACCAAATTGAAGTTTTTTTTTTCCTCTCCAAATTTCTTCAATTAGACTTCTCTTGGAAATAAATTTAAAATAAAAAAAGTGTTATCTTTCTCTCTTGTTTATATATAGGTAATAATAAGATATAGACACGTATGCGTAGAGAATCTTGTTGATCCTAGGGGAATTGGGGGAAAAGTGTCACAGGTATATGAAAACCAATTTTTTCCGGGCCATAGAAAAAATAATATTAGTATAAAATAAAGTTTGTAAAGTAAGCAAACTAATATAAAAAGAATTAAAATAATAAAAAACAGTCTTTAAAAATAACATTAAACTTATGGAGCGAAATAAATAATTGAAGTATCATTGAAAGAGATACTTTGTATAAAACTAAATTAAAAGTGCATTTGAATCAAACAAGAGTGATCTAGTTGGTAAGGAATCAACTTATAATTTATAAAATAGTGAATTCGATTCCACTGATAATGTGAGGACCTTGTTGGTAGGTGATCTGTAAGTATATTTGTAAGTGCTATCTGAACTTAAAAGTATGTCCTTGCCTTTGTAAGTTCTCAGGATTCCGCAAAAATATATGCATATATATATCATTAACATATACTATCCTAATTATAAAACTTTATTTTCAGAGATGGTATTTTTAAAGCACATGTCTTAGTCAAAAACGAAAGCTCAATTAATGGCGGTACCGTGTTGAGCAGTTTATAAAATTATTTAAAGCATCCCGGGGAGAAATATATCTTATAAAAGTTTGAAAACATAAAATAAAGGCGCACGGGTGGGCTAGTTTGCATGGATATGGATGAAAACTTCCCAACTTTGATTATGACCGGAGGCTGTCTCTAAAATTTGTTTGTGATTCATCAAGCTTCCTCTTTTTTGGCCAATAATTCAGAAAGCTCACTTGAATGTGACGTTGGATGAATTATTAGTATTTAAGCAAGGTTTTCATATTTAAATAAAATATCACTATGCCCTAAATATAGTCACTTATAGTATATTTATTTTTTTAAAAATTTTACTCTTATTTAATTCTCATTGGAAAGAGAAAAAGAAAGGAGAAATATGATAATGATTTGCAAATATATAGAGAGAAAGAAGGGAATTATTAATGAGAATAAAATTGAAAAATCTCAATTTAATACATTCCTTGATATGTGAAAATGGACTTTGTTACCAACAAATGAGCAAGTGACTTATATTAAGAATTACTCTTAAACTACTAGTATTTCACGAGTTCTTGGCAGTGTCAAATATTTATTAAACACTTCTCAAATTGTTAAAATCATTACAATATGAGCTCTTGGCTGACTGTTGTTGATATTAAGAGCTTTTAGTTCATACGGCACATTACACCTTCTTTAATCAAATTTTATAACATCTGATTCATCTCTCTCATATGTTGTGAACTAAGAGAAAAGAAAAACAATAACAAGTCTTTTTCCTTCTATCTTCACGCAACGCCCTTCATTCCATTTTATTGTATTCCGGATAACATTCGGACATTTTATATTCTTTTCATGACAGTTTTAGTTCCCATTCCAAACATGAGTTATATTAAATAAATCCATCTATACTCAAGAAGTTGAAATAAAGTACCGAAACCCTCCTATGTATTAATGGAAAACTGCATTAATTTCTACTCATTATAGAAATTTCTCCAGAATAACTAATGACATTATCTTCAAAGATTAATTAAAAAAACTTACAAAGTGAAACACAAGCTTCCACCTACCTTATCGCTGCAACTGCTCTTTCAAATTCCCAAGAGGGCCTAAGCCTTTTTCTTTAGTTTCCTCTCTGCTACAATTGCAACTGCTAGTATTCAGATTCGTACCACATTTCAGGCACAACCCTTTACATCTGGGATCACAGATAGCATTAATGGTAATCTCAAGATGTATCCTGTCTCTTATGTTCTTAGAAATGTCAATTTCTTTCTTTTCAGGAGGAAAATGCAGCCGATCATCTAAGTCAATCAACGCATCATTGTCATCATCCTCGTCATCATCTTCTTTATCATCGTTGTAAATGTCTTTCCCATATAAAACACCCAAGTCAATAGTCTCTGGTTCAGCGACCGGTTCATCAGTGAGCAAGAGGCAGAATTCAGAGAATATACCCTCAGCAGCTGGCTGACCACACCTTCAATTGAACAATACATTCAAACAAGCTATTTGATGAAAGAGGAAGCAGAGAGGAAGTACAGAAAATAGTTTATGCGGTTCACCGCGCCAATGATAAAATACTCCAGGGCTCTGCTACTTAATATACATTCAATGAATTTGTGGAACATTAAGAAACTAGAACCTGATATATTTCATAGCTGTACTCGTACGAGGTTAATCTACCAAAAGCAAACACATGGTCTTCTCTCTTTATCTTTTCGTATCTTCTTCAATCTACAATTCGAGCCTATTTTTTTGCTCTTTTGGCGACATGATGAAATGATTGGTGTGATTATCTAGGCCGGTCTTAGTCAATCAGTAAACTCTACAACATACAAGACAGTTACGTTACGCAGCTTTCAGTCACTCAAGGGAAAATAACTTATCAAATCGTGCAGACTCATGTTTATTTCAACCATCCAAGTCTTTACAATATTGTTACACCCAATGAAGAGTTAGCCTTGACCAATTACCTGGTTAAGGGTGTATGAAATCAAAGGTTTTATAAACGAACCAACCACATCTGTTCAGTTCAGGGGTAGGAGACGCGGGTCGAATAAATATGTATTCATATATGGAGATCAGAAAGCTGCTTCAGGATGTATTAAAACTAGAGAAGATAGTGTGCTCAAACAATATAAAAACTAAGATTTACCTGAATTTTCATTAAAAGCAGTAACAGGAGACCACAAAGAGAATATAAAATGTTGAGAATGAACCATTAGACCCCAAGAAAAATTGCATAACATGTTGAGAAGCCAGGAAAGATGTCAAGCCAAACGAAACAGAGGGGGCCAACAAATTTCAGGATTTAAAACTTCTTCAAGGGTATTGCATGCACTATGATCGGAAGGGAAGCATTATTATTTATTGTTGCCACTTGAAAGATTTCAAATTCCTTAAAAATTTCAACATTTCATGGGTTAGTAGCCAGCTGCTGATCACCTTGTGCACGTCAGTTTGAGCTTGCATGGGGTGTCAATGAATTTTAGTTACACCCATCTTTGACCCCAAAAAAGGAGAAAAGTGAAAAAAATACAAGTAATGAAACAAAGAAAAAGTACTCACGCCTAAAACCTTTCTACAGGTTTAAAATTTATATGCTCAAGGTTCCCAGCGTCAGCTGCTAAACTTAAACCAGCACCGTGACTTGCCAGGGAATAAAATAAGACATCCATATGCCTAATACCTAAATATAATATCCAGTAACATTACCAATTGAAAAATAGAACCATAGCTTGTTGCATTTTTCAGCACTATTATTCCAGTTCTCATTGACAGACAAACAACCAACTGAATCATCTAATCGTAATTTACAATGAATCAGTGCAAGTTGTATGTTTCATGAGGTAGTGCAAAAAAGCATTCAAAAAAGTTATTACTGAAAAGAATTCAGAAAAAGAAGTTGTTAACAGTGTCATCAAATCCACCTGAGAAACACAAAAAACAGAGGCAGCAAACCACAGGTTTAAAACATAACTCTAGTGTATTCTTTTTTTATTAAAAAAAAAAAAAAAAACCATAACTCTATCAATCCTATAGCCCACTAAAGTAGGCTAATACCTTAGCTTTTTCAACCTCAATACAACTTCCTGAATCTAGCCTCTGTTAATGGCGTGAAAGATTGAAGATAACTTCAAGACATTTGTCAAAAATCAAAGGAAGAAACAAAGACATATGTCGAACATCATCCCAAGCCATTCCTTATAATTCTTAAGCTTACTTTTAAAAAAAAAAAAATCTTACCAGCACTACTGATAGGCCAAATAATATATACCTAACCACAAATGGTTAAAAATATAACTCTATCATTCTATGAGACACAAAAGTTGGCTAATACCTTATTTTTCCCCACCAATAATTACAAAAACTCCTTCCTCAATCTAACCTTTGATCTTGGCATGAGAAATTGAAGATATCTTCAAGACATATGATGATTAAAATAACACCAATTGAAGTTGCACTTTTCCAAAAGGATCAAATAAAGACACGCGCGCGCGCACACACAGAACGTCATCCTAAGCCATCCCTTGTAATTCTTAAACTGCCTTGCAAAATAAAAGAAAATTTTTCAAAAATGATTAATAGACCAAATTGGATATAAACTATGTTGCCACTTTATTCAAGAGTTTTTTCTTAAACTAAGAAAATAAACAAAATTTTCGTTTTCCTCATAATTACCTAAACTGAATTGCCTTTGTGGTTTATTGCCTGAAGTTAAAAAGTTAAAAAAGGAGAGATTGAGCAAGGGCAGGGGGCCAAATATATTATCTAAACACCTAATGTTAAGCTCAGAATGCAGAATAAATTTTGACATAATCTACAAAGGACTTCAATGACCATTCTTGCTCACATTTCAATCCCCCAAAATCAAGGCCAGAATCGAATCATAATCCCAAGTTGATTTTTCACACCAGACTAAGGAATCCTCATTCCCACTGCATAAAGGCTGGAATGGAATCACCATTCAGTTAATCAAGTATGCTCCATGATGCATAAAAGAACTTTACTACAATGAAGAAGGTCATCAAGCAGCAGCAGCAGAGAGAAGCAAATATACAATTTCAATAGAGTATAGACACTAAGCTTTTAAGACCTGAAAAAACATTTATAGCAGAGTAAATCGGAGATGGGCAAACATACAAGTAAAGCCCCCATATTTGTATAAAAACAGGATGAGTTCAAGAAGGCAATACCTATTACAACCAAGAGTGATGACAGATTTTACAATCCCATCAAGCCTCAACTTTTTTTTCTTTCTGGTCACATCTATGGAGATCTGAACGGGCGTCCCATGTGGATAGTCCTTCACAGCTTTTGTAACACGCAATCCCATAACAGAAGCCCTAGATTTAGAGATATCAGTTGAAAGTTTTCCTAGACCTAATCTTTCCAAGGTAGTGCAGTACTCAAGATGAGAAATTGACGAATTTCTCTTGTATATAACTGCACCTTCCCATGGTGACCCTGTATCTTCAAGGTCTTCTTCATCATCCAAATCCAAGGATATTGTGCTTTCTTGAGTAAATGATTCATTACGAGCTCCCTTGCATCTAAAAGCATACTTACGAAGAATATTTCGTACATTTCTGATGTTGGGAAGGACATTTTCGGTCGTACAACACAGAACTGTTCTATGTTGCAAGGGAGTGTATGAAACATATGAAGATTTCTTATGGAAATCCAAATTATATATTTTACATCGAGTAAAATGCCAAGCTGCAGTAGAGGACGATGGGAATACAAGTGACATTTTAGTTTCTCGTTTCAGTGAAGGTAAGACCTAAACCATAAAAAATGTTATACAGTATTCAGAAAATTGTACAAAAAGCAAGAGGAATGATGTCAAATTGCACCTTCAAGATATGACGAAGACCGCAGCTTTCTCTGCGACCATGCAAGATAGCTCACACAATTTGAACTTATGTGAAGCAGAAAACAGGCAACGAATTCTACAGGAAATCAAAAAGTGAAAATTAGTCGCCACAAGGTGCCGTGACTAAGTGAGAATGACAAATAGTACGATTAATTAGCAACAACTTAAAAAACAGGGAAGCAAAAGTATTCCCTTTAAAACAAGGAATTCAATCAGGACAATGCAACAAACCCAAGTGAAAACAAAAAACCCACAAAAATTATGGTGAAGAAAAAACAAAACAGAGCGAGAGTCCAAAGGGCAAAAACAGAGAGAGCCTTTTTGTGCTCTTCAAATGATGGAAGTGGAAGAAAATTTCTGAAACTAGCAAAGCAGCTGTCGAAAGGCAGAAACAATAAGCGAAGAAAAGTACTAGGATTCTATGATTGGGATCTGTAGGGAGATAGTTCAGATAAAATAACTCACATGACCAAGCTAGCACGTCGCAGGCAGAGACAGCAGAGACTAGAGGCGATAGCACTGAGAAAGTCGGGGATAAAGAATAGCCCTTGCCGTCTACCTCCTCTTCCTCCCGTCGACCGCACAGAACGACGTCGTTTAAAATGTCCCCAGGTCACCCGAAAAAGGCTTGAGCTGCAAATAGCTAAAACAAATAAAGAAAAATAGAAAATAACTTTCCTTAACATCCTTCTAGATAGTTTAGCAAGATAATAAAATGGATGATTAATTATTAATCAATAATTAACAGTTAACTATAGATTGTAAATGAATAGCTATAATGGACTCTCATGAAATCCAAAAAAATACGTGGCTATACTAAATAGCATAATCCTTTTTTTTTTTTTTGCCGACATAATCCATTATATATTTTATGGATATATTTATAATTTTATATTTATAATTAAAATTTTTTCACATTACGTTATTTTTTTAATAAATTCTTGTGAAAAATTAAACGCCCAAAATTAAATCTCTAAGTTTGTTTCTAACTCAAACTTTATACACACACTCTTCTGACCTTTAATATAAGACATGATTAATTAATTTAAATAAATTAAATATATTAATTAAATTAGTTAATCTGGTAATTTTTTTAAAAATACTCTAAGTATCTTTTTTAATTTCCTCCTCCTCTTTTCTACTTGATTATTTTTGAGAAAATATTAATAGGATTAATTTTAAAAAAAATTGACAAATATGTAAAATATATCTTATATACAAAACTAATACCAACTCCTCAATTAGGTCTACATCAAGAACTGGACAGGTATCTGCACATTCCCAGATACATTGAAAATCTCCAAGAATAATCAGCTGTGTTGATTTGAGTTTCAGCACGGACGATGCTTAAAGACCAGACATAATGAACGGTGATCTTTCTCAAAGCGAGTTGATACTCAGTCTGCAACAAAGTATAGATATGTCCAAGCATACTGGCGAAGCCTCCCAACCGATGACACACTTTAACATTAACCTCATCAAACATAATACATTGGATCCCTCAAACTTGTCGTCCAATTTCATCTTTTGACCTAACTCCTTAGGCATATCATCCTTCCCACCTCTTGAAATTTCAACAGCAAACTTGTTATGACCCTTAATATTGATATGGTTGGCAAGAATTTCATTCATAACCCAAAATATTTAAATCCTGTTATTTATATGACAACCTCGTTACTGACGAATAACAAGTAAGTACATTTCTAGGTGTTCTTTCCCCTGTAAGTCCCTGATGAGCTCCCACGATTTGCTTCACACCTAAACTTCTCATCTGATCAAACAAATCAAGCTGAGGAGCTTCCATTTCCTTCTGTCATTTTCTCTGGAGTCTTCAAATGAACAATGTACATATCATATTCAGGACAGAAACTCCTCCATAATTTGTTGATTTTTGATGGTTCAATCACCTTGCATAACCTATCAGAAGTTGCAGTTATATATCACCACCAACATCATTGAACACTATTATTGTCCACATTCCCAGAATCTGTACCAACTCCACTAGCTCTAGCAAATTCCATGAAACTCAAAGATATTAACCTTTCTGAAAGACCTATAATGGGGAATCAACAGCCTTTTCTGTGAAGCAAGGAATGCAAGAGAGGAGTATGGCAAAAGAAATGGAATTTCACAATGAGAAGAATAGACAGTGCAATGAGTAACAGAATGAAGCAAACAAGACAAGGGCAGAGAGCTACCACAAAGCAAGAAGATTTTCTCTTCTCCACGGTGCGATGCTTGGCATCCATGTGATGCAAGGCAGGGAAGAAAATTTGACTGATAGTAAAAGGAAGACACTAAAAATCCAGTCTGAAACGGTCTCGTTTGTCCCAGAAACAGGGTCATTGATCTGCAATTTTCAAGGATGAGAACAAAGAGTAGAATTGAAGAGAAGAATTTGATTGAGTTTACATGCAAGTGTAGTGGTTGGAAGTGGATGGAAGGTAGAGTGGCAAAGGCTTTAGGCGACTGGTTGTTGATTGATTAAGAAGGATAAAACTTGTTCTCTAAGTAATTGTGTAAGTGAGGTTCAATCTTTCTTTCAAGGATTTAAGGTATACTTTCTCTATTCTTCCGTCTTTTTCGTTTGTTTGCCACTAGGATCCAAAATTTGTTGTTTCTCTCAGGCTCGCCCTCTAATTCATTGCATATTACAGGCCATAGCACCCGGTTATGGAAGCTGCCAACATTTCCAACTTTGTAAGAAAGACAAGCTTGGTAAGTACTATTCAATTCAAAACTGTATGGATAAGCAAGAGTTAGTTAATATAATATGGTAGAACCCCTATTTTTTTTATTCATTTTCATTTACTCCACAAATAATAATAGTTATTTTCATAATATTGATGCCGTGGTCACTACGTCAAAATCCGGGGTTTTATAACTAAAGCTAATTCTCTCTCTCGAACATAGAACCTGGCACTTTTCAAGAAAACTAAGGTCAATTCAGAGATGCTGGTAAAGTGATTTCATCATGAAAGGGTATTACCATTAGCCACCTACAGTACACTGTTGGGGATTGGGGGTTTGAATTTATTTTTTAAAATTGGAAAAGGGAGTTCAAGGAGAAAAAGGAAAAATATAAAAAAAATTAATACCATTTTTAATCTTTTAAATTTGTCTTCATTTGGATTTTGATTACTAAAGTTTTAAACTATAGATCTTGGTTCCTCAAGTTTCTTTTTATTTAAAATATTGGATCGTATAACTTAATAAAGACATGGACTATTTTGCCTCTTCAAAACCAAAATGTATGTTTTGAAACTTTAGAGATCAAAATTAAAATGAAAGCAAATTTGAGGGACTAAAAATTATATTAACCCATCAAAAAATTACAAATTTGTTAGAAGTGGCACCTGGAGCTACATGAACATAGATTCAAATTTTATAATATAAATCGAATATTTATTGAAACTTTTTGTCTTTATCATGCTCATGAGTCATGAGGAAGAGTGCATGCAAGTTGGACTTCAACCCAATCTGGAAGGATTTTGATTGGGTTTGAAAATGTGTTACTTAGATAACACCGTCGGCTGATTTCCACAGTACTTGGGTTTTATTGTTAGGTTGTTAATAATTTTTTACTTTAACAAATGTATAATCCAAAATAAAAAATAATTCTATAATCATCACTCAATAAGAAAATTAATTTATTAATTTTTAATATATAATTTAAAACATTAAATTTGTCCTGGCCTTGGTAATCTTGGAGCATTGTTTTTTTCTTCCTCATTTTCTATATAATATCTGGTGGACCAAGCTCTATTTTAAGATTTTAGCAAAACAAACCCACAAGTTAATGTTTTAGTAAAGTGTAAACATGGGAAGATGCTTTGGTAAAAAACAAAGAGATTAAGAAGAAACAGCTACCCGCTGAAAAGGAAATGACCCCTCGTCCATGGGTTCAGCTGGCGAAGGGGTCGGACACTCTTACCTAAGGGAGAGGGTTCGATCCTGGGGAGTGCTACTTTGTTGTGGCTCCAGTCGCGGTGCTGGGGGAGGCATCACCACAGCTAAGTGGAAGCGACCTCTTCTGGGGCTAAATTCCCATGTGGTTAATGCTCTTTAGCCAGAGGGAGGTGGAGGCATGTGTACTCTCCTACCTGGCCCGTAAAGTCGTGGAAACATGAGTTAGGTGCCCTGTCCTTGAATTGTGGGTGAGCTTGACCCCTTTCCTAAAATTTTATTACCAAAAAAAACAAAGAAAAGGAAATGAAAACGTTGTATATGGGATGACGACAGATGAATAATAAGCAGACAGACGATGCAGCTCTCGGTTTCTATGGGAGCCCTCCTATAATTCCGTCTCGATTCTCCTTTTATTTTAGGCAAAGGTGCGTGTTTAATTCTCTAACTTTACGTGATTTTTCAGTTTGATCTTTAATTTTAAAAAGGGGTCATCTCTTTAATTTTTTAATCATAATAAAGTTAGCCTCGCATAATAAATTTTTGTAATAATTATTACTATTTTAAAAGGTAAATTGGTTAAAGTATATATTTGGTCCTTTAACTTTGTGTAAAGTTTCAATTTGGTTCCTTACCTTTAAAAAGCATGCATTTGGTCATTTACCTCCTCTTCATCCTGTCGACCACACATAACGATGTTGTTTAAAACGCCCCAAAATCACCCGAAAAAGGCTTGAGCTGAAAATAGCTCAAAAACAATAAAGAAAATAACTTTCCTTAACGTCTTTCTATGTAGTCTAGCAACATAATAAAATGGATGATTAATTATTAATTAACAATTAACAGTTAACTATAGATTGTAAATGAATAGCTGTAACGGACTCTCATGAGATCCAAAAAAATACGTGGCTATAAATGGTAAATACTACTAAATAACATAATCCATTTTTTTTTTTGCCAACATAATCCATTATATATTTTATGGATATATTTATAGTTTTTATACTTTTAATCATAATTTTTAAAATTTATAATTAAAATTTTTTCACATTACATTATTTTTTTAATAAATTCGTATGAAAAATTAAACAGCCCAAATTAAATTTCTAAGTTTGTTTTCAACTCAAACTTTATATATATATATATATATATATATTTCTTTGGTTTTTAATGTAAGACTTGATTAACTAATTTGAGTAGATTAAAGATATTAGTTAAATTATTTAATATGATATGTCTTTTTCTAAAATATCCTAAATATCTTTCTTAACCCTCTCTCTCTCTCTTGCTCTACTACTTGATTATTGTTAGAGGAATATTAATAAGATTAATTTGAAAAAAATTGATAAACATCTAAAATAAATCCTACATATAAGACCAACATCAACTCCCTAATTGGTTCCTATATTAAGTACTGAGGAGTATATATATAAAATCCCGTCTTCATCTGCACCTTTTTAATGATCATAAACCTACTCTGTCCACTACGCTGAAACATTACCAAATACATTGAAAATTTCCAAGAATAATCAGCTGTGTTGATTTGAGTTTCAGCGTGGATGATACCTAAGACCAAACATAATGAACAGTGATCTTTCTCAAACCGAGTTGATACTAAGCATATTGGCAAGGCCTTCCAAGTGATGTACACTAACATTAACCTCATCAAACATGTTGAGCTAGCTCCTAAGGTATATCATCCTTCCCACCTCTTGAAAATTCAACAGCAAACTTGTTATGACCCTTAATGTTGATAGGGTTGGCAAGAATTTCACTCGTAACCCAAAATATTTAAATCCTGTTATTTATATGACAACCTCGTTGCTGATGAATAACAAGTAGGTACATTTCTAAGTGTTTTTTCGCCTGTAAGTCCCCATTGAGCTCCTACGATTTGCTTCACACCTAAACTTCTCATCTGATCAAACAAATCAAGCTGAGGAGCTTCCATTTCCTTCTCTGTCATTTTCTCTAAAGTCTTCAAATGAACAATGTACACATTATATTTAGGACAGAAACTCTTTCATAATTTGTTAATCTTTGATGGTTCAATCACCTTGCATAACCTATCAGAACATGCAGTTATATGTCACCACCAACATCATTGAACAATATTATTGTCCACATTCCCAGAAGTTGTACCAACTCCACTAGCGCAAGCAAATTCCATGAAACTCAAAGATATTAACCTTTCTGAAAAACCTATAATGGGGAATCAACAGCCTTTTCTGTGAAGCAAGGAATGCAAGAGAGGAGTATGGCAAAAGAAATGGAATTTCACAATGAGAAGAATAGACAGTGCAATGAGTAACAGAATGAAGCAAACAAGACAAGGGCAGAGAGCTACCACAAAGCAAGAAGATTTTCTCTTCTCCACGGTGCGATGCTTGGCATCCATGTGATGCAAGGCAGGGAAGAAAATTTGACTGATAGTAAAAGGAAGACACTAAAAATCCAGTCTGAAACGGTCTTGTTTGCCCCAGAAACAGAGTCATTGAGCTGCAATTTATAAGGATGAGAACAAAGAGTAGAATTGAAGAGAAGAATTTGATTGAGTTTACATGCAAGTGTAGTGGTTGGGAGTGGATGGAAGGTAGAGTGGCAAAGGCATCAGGCGACTGGTTGCTGATTGATTATGAAGGATAAAACTCGATTTCTAAGCAATTGTGTAAGTAAGATTGAATCTTTCTTTCAAAATTTAAGGTATAGTTTCTCTATTATTCCATCTTTTTTGCTTGTTTGCCACAGGGATCCAAAATTTATTGTTTCTCTCTGGCTCACCCTCTAATTCATTGAAGATTACAAGCCATAGCTCCCAGTTATGGAAGCTGCCAACATTTCCAACTTTGTAAAACAGACAAGCTTGGTAATATAATACGGTAGAACATTTATTTTTTAGTCATTTTCATATACTCCAAAAATAATACTACCTCTGGTCATAATTATAAGACTTCATTTGTAGTTTTACAAATGATGTCTTATAATTAGGACCGAAGTAGTAATAACTATTTTTAGAACATTGATACTGTGGTCACTAGGTCAAAATCCGGGGGCTTTATAACTAAAGTTAATTTTCTCTCTCAAACATAGAACTTAGCACTTTTCAAGAAAACTAAGGTCAATTCAGAGATAAAATACTGGTAAAGTGATTTCATCATGAAAGGGTATTACCATTGGCCCCCTGCAGTACACTGCTGGGGGCTTTGAATTTATTTTTTAAAATTTAAAAAGGGAGTTTAGGGAGAAAAAGGGAAAAATATATATAAGGTTAATATAATTTTTTATCTCTCAAATTTCCTTATTTTGATTTTAGTTTCTTAAATTTCAAACCATAGGTCTTGGTTTCTCAAGTTTCTTTTCATTTAAAATTTGGATCTAATAACTTAATAAAAGCCTAAACTATTTTGCCTCTTGAGGGATCAAAATTTATGGTTTAAAAGTTAAAAGATCAAAATCAAAATAAGGGCAAACTTGAAGGACCAAAGATTGCATTAAACCATTGGAGCTACAAGAACATGGATTTTAAATTTTATAATATAATTTGAATATTTATTGAAATTTCAGTCTTTATCATGCTCATGAGGAGGAGGGTATGCAAGTTGGACTTCAACCCAATCTCGTGGGATTTGGATTGGGTTTGAAAATGTGTTGCTTGGAATTTGAGCCCAATCCAGCCCAATGCAAAATAACACCTTCGGCTGATTCCCCCATTACTTGGGTTTTATTCTTATGTTGTTAATAATTTTTTTATTTTAATAAATGTGTAATCCAAAATAAAAAATAATTTTATAATTATCACTCAATAAGAAAATTAATTTATTAATTTTAATAAATAATTTAAAAATTAAGTTTGTTCTTGCCTTGGTAATCTTGGAGCATTGTTTTTTTCTTCCTCATTTTCTATATGATATCTGGTAGAGCAAGCTCTATTTTAAAATTTTAGCAAAACAAAACCACAAGTTTAATGTTTTAGTTTAGTGTAAACATGGGAAGATGCTTTAGTCAAAAACAAAGAGATTAAGAAGAAACAGCTACCCACTGAAAAGGAAATGAAAACGTTGGATATGGGTTGACGACAGATGAATAATAAAAAGACAGACAACGTAGCTCTCGGTTTCTATGGGAGACCCTCCTATAATTCCGTCTCGATGCTCCATTCATTTTAGGCAAAGGTACATGTTTAATTCTCTAACGTTACGTATTTTTTCAGTTTGATCTTTAATTTTAAAAAGGGCCAATATCTTTAATTCTTTGATCATAATAAAGTTAGCCCCGAATAATAAATTTTTATAATAATTATTAATATTTTAAAAATTAAATTTTACATGTTATTTGAGGGTGTTTTGTTAGCATTTAAATTTGAAAGAATTACGATAAGGTCCTAACCAAGAAAAATAATTACTAAAAAATTTTAATGACAACCGAAGCAGCTTGTAATAACAAGTTTTAAAGTAAAACATAACAACTTCTAGAACCTCTCTTCTTTTTTTTTTTTTGTAATTATGTTCCTTTTTTATGACCTCATTGTAATTTCTCTCTTTAAACTTTCAGCAGCACCTTTTTATTAATGGCATTAGGGTAAAAAAAATACTTTATAAAATTAAGAGATCAAAGTCAAATACTCTTCTAGTCCTATTTATGAATTATAAGTTACTTCCAATATGTTTCATTATAACTAACAAAAATTTTAAACCTCATTAATTCTCCCTTAATTTAACAAATTTATTCTTAGGTAGTATATATGTTTTCTAACGAATTGACTATCTATGCAATAATAAATTAGGGATAAAGTAATACATTTATGTTAAAATTTAATAGCATGACTTATAAATAGGACTAAAAAATATATTCTATCTCTATCTTATAAGATCATAGAAATAGTATGTGAAGTTGAAGGATTAAAAATCTACTTTTATTTGCCTTTATTGTAACATTTATCATCCAATAATAATAATGGATAACAAAATAAAATTGAGGGAAATAAAATTAGAGAAGGTCAAAGAAAAAGCTTCATCTAATCTTAATCCGCAGACCGCATTCTCATTCTTAATTAAATTATTTCATAATGACGTTTGAGCTAAGCATTAATATCACTCCCGGCTAATTAAGTTTCGTTTTATTCTTATTTATTTATATGTACTCTTAGTTGTCTTCTTGATGGCAGATAATAATTTTGTTTTTCAAATGGAGTCACCATTAATATTTTAATTGGATGCATACAACAAAAACAAGACAAACTTCTATGATCATTACAATTGTCGCGTCATAAGCACGAAGCAATCATCAATATCTTACAGTAATTAATTATATACCAATATCACTATGTTGTGTGTCTTTTGTTAATACACCTTAGCTTCATGTCGATATCCACAACACCGCCTGCAATAGCGATGTTATTCCAATTTTATATATCCATTAAGTAAGAGAATTGTTTTATTAGTTAAACTTTTAATGTCATTTTTTATATACAAATTCTTATCTCTTGTAATCATATTGTCATTTTCATTTTATTTCAGTTTAACTACCGATGCTTTTTGAACGGACAATTTATCACTTAATCATTATACATGTGTGCGAAAATTTTGACACATATCAACTACGATCTTGTACCAGGCCCAAAAGAAAAGGGGGGGGGGGAATTAAATGATTTCAAGATACAATTTAGCAATAATAAGAGAGAGCTAATAATAGAGGGCGTACACACACACCCACACATATATATATATTCTAACTAAACATCTTTTCATCATCTATATATACTGGGTCCGACAATTTTAATAATTAATAAAGAAATTCAGAACATAAAACTTTGTCTCACAACCATTGCCTGAACTTTCAGATTTAAAACGAAATCCAACAACAATGTTAACACAACGAGATAAATTAAATTAAAAGAAGGATGAATATATCTAGATATTGAAAGAACACGCACATTGTCATAGAATAATTAATTAAATCTCTAACCTTTGACATGTTCTTATCTGGTCCAGCTGGGCGAAGAACACCTACGCTCCATTAAACAAACCTCGTAAGCCTTAAGCCTAAAAAGTTCCATCTTTAGGCTTATATACGCACACACCCCACAACTAAGCTTGATCAAGAAACAACATGGCAGCATCAGCTGAAGCAAATAATAGGAACATGAAGGGAAGAAAGAAATCATCATCCAGAGGCCACCACCGGTTCGTCGGAGTTCGTCAAAGGCCGTCCGGACGGTGGGTGGCTGAAATCAAAGACTCCTTTCAGAAGGTCCGTCTTTGGCTTGGAACATTCGACACAGCCGAGGACGCAGCTCGCGCCTACGACACAGCCGCGCGTGCTTTGCGCGGCGCCAACGCTCGCACCAACTTCGACTTGCCGGATCCTTCTGCCCCTGGAGGCGGCAGCGGCGCCACCCAACACGGTGGCAGTTTCAGCTACAAGCCGGAGAATCTCGAGCCCTTCTCGTTCGAGGACACCGGAGGTGATCATGACCTCCTCGGAGCCCTCAAGGCCAAGCTACTTAATGACAAGGGAGAAGTCAGACTTCCTTCTCAATTATCTAATAATCATAGCTTAGTCTTCACGGGATTTGTAAACCCTAATAATAATCCTGGATTTTCAAGCACGTCTTCACCAGGCACAAGCAAAGGTGCGAAGAATATTCACACTGATAATAATAGTAATATCTTCATCTCAGATCACCATCATGGGGTTCCTATAGCAGCAAATGATTCTTCGGTGCCCTTAATGAATTCATGGTCCAATAACAACGAGACAGGTAATAACTACGAATTGCCTTGGCCTACAGGTCCTACACAGATCATGAACCAAGTTCCTGAAAATAATAGTTTGTTTGCATCTTCAAGTAATTCTCCAATGTGGCCACTATCTGGGGTCAACGTTATTGATCAGTCTACGATGAGTATGATGTATTCTGACGTCGATGTGGGAGACAAGAATAACCTTATTAACATCGACCAGAGAGAACATGATTCAGATAGATCAGTAGTCTTAGGATACTCTGATTGTAATAACCAAAATATGATTATGTATTCTGATAATCATGGGGCTTCAAATAGCAGAAGTAATGCTCAAATTGGAGGATTCGCCGAAGGGTTATGGACAACAACAGATCATCAGCAGCAGCAAGTTCTTGTGCAGTGTGACAATAATGGTAGTTGGTTTAGTTCGAATAATAATGGTGCGTGGGATCCTTTGCTTTTTATGTCGTCTGAATTCGGTTGATTGTTTTAATTTTAGAAGTCAAAGGAATTAAGCTGTATGTATATTGATTGTTCTTCGTCTTCAAATAATAATCATTCTTTTAAAGTCAGATTATTTTAATACATACATACATACATATATATATATATATATATATATATATATAGAAGACCTTTCTTTGTGCATTCAAATTCAGATTCGTTATATAGAAGGGAATCACTAGAATAAAAATAGGCAATTTGCAATGGAAATTTGAAAGAATTCTTGACTCCTTCGCAAATAATTTGCGATAAGAAAATTATTGCAATTTTTGTCACAAACATTATTTGTGATAGAATATTATCCACCCAAATTGAGGCATTAACAGCTTAAGGTTTGTTACAAGTGGAATTGAACTCAACTTTTCATTTATAAGAAAGTTTCCATACCACTAGCTCACAAGATCATCGACAAATAATCAGTTTTCTGCTATAGCGAATATTGTGTGTTTTGAGTTTTTGATTTCTGACATTGGTGCATGTAACCCTTATTTTTATTTTTATAATTTTAATGTATGTGCAAGTCATAAATCTTTCATGTCAAAAACTATATTTATGTGCTCCGTAAAGCTTATTCTTGTGTGTCCCACGAAAATTTTCATAATGAGCTCCGAAAGAAGTAGTGGGTGCAATGATATGCATTTATTCTGGTAATTATTTATTCTAGTAGTTATTTATCGATTCAATGTATGGTCACTACACTACACATACCTTCTTATCTTTCTATATATTGAATGGCGATTACCGATACTCTCAAAGCAAATAAATTGCTGTTGATTAATTAAACATTATTCCTGCCTACAATAATTCCTTTTGACAGAATATGATGGGAGTATGAATAACTCATATGAACTTTTGATATAACTAGGACATGAAGCATGAATGACTTAATACGATTCCAATTCAAATTAATGAGGATAAATAATATTTAACATGAACTTTTGATATAAGGAGGGTTGGAGTTCATAAAACTTTTGAATACTTTAACGTTGGGTTCGGATAAGGGAATATTTAGATTCGGATTTGGGTTTGGGAGTAATCCATTATTTGAGTAGATAAAAATTCATGGATTTGAATTTGATCTAAATCTAAGTTAACTTTATTATTTTAATTCTTTACAATTTCAAATCCTCACTCTATAACCTAAGTATTACAATTTAATATTTTTTATAACCCAAACAAAAGATTTTAAATTTTAGATTTTAGATGTAACATTGTAAAACTTTAACATCCAAATCCAAATTCATTTATTCACACGTGTTCTGTCATCTTCGGCAAGAGTCTAATAAATTTTATCAAGATGGCAAAAACTTATATTTGCTTTCAAACTCAAAGTAAAAAAGCTGCTACAGAGCTTGAACAGGGAAATAATTAAGCTCCTGGCAATGGGACAACCTGTGGCAATAGAATATAATGATTATAGTTTGAATCATTTTGGTTTCAACTTTACTCGAACTCAAAATTCAACACTTGCGATTATTATAAACAAAGAATATTGATGAACACTTCTATGGCTCTAAACAGTAGGTCCCACTTCAAATGCATAAATCTAAAAGTGGGGTGGAGGAATATGATTGCACTGCCAAAAATACCAAAACGTCTCTGGAAGATGCTTCACTTTACTATTTATTCCAAAGTAGAACATCCTAGATTTAGACAAATTTCTTGTCCACGAATTCATGTAATTGGTCCCCACACGTACACCAATTGATTTCTCAAAAGAAACTTGCTTTGGCTGTCTGGCTTTGGGTGAGATGTGACAAGATCTTTGAGGAAATAGGATGGGGTTAAAGGCCAATTAATAAAGTGGTGGGAGTGTATTTCTAGGACATATAGGGTCCATCAAGACAAATTTTATGAGAGGCACAATCTATGGTCACAATGGGGGAGACTTTTGTGCATGGTCGAACTTACTTTATTTCATCTATATTTCATTGGATCATGAAAATTCAAATATAACATTGAATATAGTTGCTTTGGAAGAAAGGGTAAAGCTAATTCCCTTCTACAAAATCTTATTGTTGGCCTGATCTTACGGTTAAGATTGTGATTGAGCTAACGATCCTGCAATACAATACATATTCCAGTTATTGGATCAAGCTCTACCGATTTCAATCACGGGAAAAAGTTTCTTGAGGCTTGTAAGAGAATTTAACACCCAATACTGTAGTCTAATAGTTTTTCATTGTCCTTAATTAGTCTTTTGTATATATTTGAATTATTCCTTTGTTCTTTATCCTTTTCTATTCCACTTGTATTTTACTGTTCTTGCTATTCAAGCAAAAAATTGAAGTTCTTTGCTGGCATGATTGTATTGGTTCGATTATAACGATTCTCTTATTATATATGGAATGAGATTTTCATGTCTTTGTAATTAGTTATGCTTTCATAATTAGAGTCTAAGAAATGGTATTAGAGTGAGGCTTTGTTAAAAACATTGGATAAAGATGAAAACTCAAACTAAAATCTACATGTGTATCCACTTGAAGAAAAGAGAAATTTTCCAAGTGGGGTGCGAGATTTTGCACTCGTCAGGTGTGCTCATGTGAAGAAAAAGAAAAATGGACAATGACAACCAAGAACCTCACAAGAAAGTTGATCAAGACCTCATCATGACGGAGTACTTCTAGAGGGAAGCTGTCTAGTGTTCGATGCTCTATCCCCAACAAAGCTAGTGGACTATATTATATGGGAAAATATTGTATGCTTTTTCATGAAGGATGATTTGTTTTGTGTAAGAAGTTAGATTTGAATTCTACTCGATTTCAGGTTTTCGATCTCCCTTTTAATTTCTCCTCAAATATATATCGTATTCATTCAGTTTTGTGTCTACAAGATGAATAAGATTTCTATTTTATTGGATCACGAGAATCAAAATTGCACCCAAGCTATCAAATGCTTTGGAAGGCAAAAGAAAGCTAGTTTATTTATAACGCTGATATTAGTCAAGTTAAGAATGAATGGTTCTGGTTTTTCATAAGAACTCATAAATATTCAAAAAGAATAATGCAATTAATAGTTGATGTGTTGGTGGTAATAAGTGAATGAATTGCAGTGCAAGTATAGTTGAAGAAAAAGCTGGGAAGTTAGGAACCTGTGCCAAAAAGCCAAGGACATAGACGGTTAATATGTCAATCTTGAGCTTAAAATGCAAAAAGTTGCAGAATTTGTGCCTTTAATTCTCAATCAAGATATCTTCCATAGCATCGTTTCTGAGCACAAGGACACATGTAGGCCAGGCCATGGCTTCATAATCTCTGGCCAACTTTATGCATTCAAATCATTTAGGTTTAACGTTAATTTTGGAGTGAAAGAAAGAAACAACCCACTACTTAAAAATCACTTGAGTTACTAAGGATTGAACTCTTCGAAATCAGCAATTCAAATCTCGATGGACGACACCTTAAAAAATCTCACGGATGATTATTAATAATTGTCATTTGTCTTTATTAGAACTTGTACTAAGAACAACTATCGTTAGTACAAGTCCTAAGACGATTATTAAACCATCGGTAAACATATTTGATTACTATGGTTATTCATCGTTACTGTTAGGATTCTACGATAGTTTACATAATCAATGTTATATATATAAGTAGTCTTGAGGATTATTTCACCAATTGTCATGAAAACCGCGGCTTGGGTCTTCATGATTTATAATTATAATTTTCCCCAGATGAACTAAAACTATGGGATTTCTCAGTAGGACGTCTACAAAATAATCACCTTGCTGGTATTTCTTAGGGCTCAAGTTTTACAACTCCGAAATTCTAGGGCTATAGGGTAACCCCATGTGTTGAAAAGAAGAACTTTTCAATACTTCGCATCACTAAATTCTCTCGTTAATTTCTCTCGTCCTTGTTTCTCAAACTTTTTATCAAATTGCGGTTAGATTTGATACTTTGTTCTGGCTTTTCAGGTATCAGATCAGATATGTGAGGTTGCAGCTAGCTATATCCCTCACTCTGCTTCAAAAGATATGAAGTATTAGATTCCATGCACACGACAGGAAGAGAAGCACAATTTCTTCTCTATAATTCCACTCAAAAGATGCCTCTCACCCATCACAAAAAAACTTATTTTCCCCTCGATGGGAATAATTAATCAGGAACAAAACATGAAGAACATAACCATATTCCAGCCTATATGATTTCTTAAAATAGAACTCGTGGCCTAAAATATCAGACCAAGAATTAGTTAAATTTCATTAAAACGTATATATTCTTTATGGGAGAAACTATTCTGGAATAGTCTGCTTCTGTTGAACAGGATATATCAGTCAAAAGAAAGCAAAAGAAAAGAGCATAACCATTAAACTAATGTCAAAGCTGGTTGCTTAAAGCGGCTTGATGTGATTTGCAGAATTTAATCTTGCTTTCTTGGCACTTATTCTAGAATATTATTTATATATGCCTAAGCCTAGCTCTGTGTTCTACTGCAAACATAAGAGCTTTATGTTTTTTCTTTCTGAGAAAAACAAAAGGGGTTTGAAGCTCTTCACACTTCTTCCCCAGCTCTAAGAATTCTTCTGAGCTTAATTTCATCATTTGCTGAAATCATGAGCAGCTCTGATGAATGGAAGCCTTTTCTAGCAATGATAGCTATCGATTTTGCTTTTGCAGTAGTGAATATTCTGCTCAAGAAATCCCTTCAAGAGGGAATGAATCATTTGGTTTTCATCACTTACAGGTTGATTACTTCTAGTATTTTTCTGGCACCGATCGGCTACTTTTGGGAAAGGTATATATGTAGGCCCTTTCAATCCTAGATGTGGTAGCCTTTGTTTCTAATTTTAGAACTCCGAATTATATAGTTATAGGAACTTTCCATTTATGATGAATGATCATATGACAGATCTTATAACTTTTAACCATTTTTGTTCACTGTTGCAGAAATGGCAGGCCAAGGCTCACATTTAGAATTTTATGTTACCTCTTTCTCAGTGCCATTGTTGGGTTCGTTATTTTTAATCCCAAGTTTTGTTTCGTCCTTTGATTTCTCTTTTAACCCTATCTTCTGGAATTACACATGAATATTGAGGTTGATATTATTGTAGGACATCAGTTACACAATATTTTTTCCTCCTGGGAATACAATATACTTCTGCTACCTTTGCTTGTGCCTTTATCAACATGGTTCCTGTGATCACATTCCTCATGGCATTGCCATTTGGGTATGTATATACAAATTTGATAGGTGTTTTTTCATATGGACAAAGATAAAATATGTGTAGAACCACTTCAGATTTCTAACTTCCACAAAAAGAAAATCCATATGGTGCATTCATAGAGTACAAACATGTCTTAGAATGCATGAATGTAGAAAATCGAATTTAGTGTAGGATCCGTGCACATTGAAGAATTCATCAATTAAATGAATTCGGCCATTAATTTCTTAAAAATCAAGATTATGTGTAGAATCACTTCAGATTTCTAACTTCCACAAAAAGAAAATCCACATAGTGCATCCATAGAGTACAAACATGTCTCGGAATGCATGAATGTAGAAAATCAAATTTAGTGTAGCACCTGTGCACATTGAAGAATTCATCAATAAAATAAATTCGGCCATTAATTTCTTAAAAATCAAGATTCAAATTCTAATAAACATACATGGCACGACAGACAGAATATCGTCATGTCACATCGAACACATATAACACTCCATTCTCCAAAGTATCGATGCTTGACAAGTAACCACCACCTAAATGCAGAATATCAACCTGGTTATCTGCTGTGTTGCTGATGGTATATATAAATATATATATATATATATATATATGTATTCCACAGGTTGGAGAGTGTGGACATAAAATGCAACAGTGGGAGAGCAAAGATCCTAGGAACAGTGGTGTGCATTGGAGGAGCACTGATGTTGACACTGTACAAAGGGAAGCCATTGTTCAGTTTTGATTCTCACTATGATTCTTCTGCATCATCAGCACCAATATCAACGAGTTCTGCGGTAAAGTTGGTTGCTTCATCTGTGAGCCCTGGGAAATGGACCCTTGGTGTTATAGCTTTGATCCTGGGAACACTGTTTTGGTCTTCATGGTTTATTGTGCAATCAAAAATAAGCAAAAGGTTCCCTTGTCAGTATTCTAGTACAGCCATAATGACCTTCTTTGGGGCCATTCAATCTGCTGTTCTTAGCTTAGCCACTGGAAGGAACTTGTCCATGTGGGTTCTCAAGGGAAAGATGCAAATCGTCACTGTTCTGTTTTCTGTAAGTTCTTCTCTATCCTATGTATATCTGAAGACCCATGTTAAATATCAATTCAAATCATTTGAATTCATAGAAGAAAATATAGATTTTGCATTTGAAAGGAATTTAAAGGGGAACAAAAGATAAGATGAGAAATCCCACTTACATTTATGCTTTTTTTTCCCCGTTATCTTGTTTCTGAGTGCCTGAATGTAAATAGCTGAGAGAAAACTGATATTCTAGTTTGTGGTTGAGAAATGAAGAACATGAATCCGGTACACAGTCTACAGGACCATCAACTGATAAATAAAATATTTGAATTATAAAATAAGAAAGAATGAAATTTAAATAGTCTGAAATAAATTTAAACAATATCCAAAGAAAATAATTATAACTCACATGATGGCTGGTGGCTTAAAAATAGGGATGGAACTTTTTAAGGCTGCAGGCTGCTGTTGTTCTGATTTTGAGAATCTTGCAAGGAAAAGGAAAAGGAAAGGGAAAGGGAAAAAGAAAATAAAGAAAGAATAACAAGCATCTCACAAGGATCTTGGGAAATGAAGCGACAGGAATTTAGTAACATGAATAAGATTTCATTAGGACCAAATGTGCAGTGAAGTGAGATATCTATGTGTCACAGATTCTTGCTTTTTTTCTTCATGAATCTCATCGGAACATAATTTCTGGACCAAAAGCTCTGTTTTCTTCCATCATTTGCAGAAGGACCAATTTGAAAGTTGACCCCTAAGAAATATTTTTATTTCACTTTGATCCTTCAAAATCTGTGCAATCTAGTTCCTAAGACAAGTCTGAAAATGCATGCAGGGAATGGTAGGATCAGGATTGTGCTTCGTGGGAATGTCATGGTGTGTGAAGAAAAGGGGTCCAGTCTTCACTGCAGCTTTCAGCCCTCTTGTGCAGATTATGGCTGCCATGATCGATGTCCCTCTCTTGCATGAACAGCTTCATCTTGGAAGGTAACTTCTATGCTTTCATGCATATAAACATTCAAAACGTGTACATTCTACCATTCTCTCTGACCTCAGTTGGAGTGTTCACGGGACGGGATGGGACGAGATCGGGATAGGGTCGTCCCGGTCCTGTCCCAGTGAACAAGGACGGGACAGGGATTCGTGTCCTGTCCTGTCCCGGTTCTGGACAAGGACGGGATCGGAACGTCCCGCTTCCTTTTCTTTTAAAAAACAATACTATAATTTTTTATATGAATTTTTTTATGTTATAATATTTATTTTTTATTGGGCTTCTAAAGATAAAAACATTATAAAAAAAATATTATGTAGAAAGCTCAATTATATAGCATAAAAAAAAGTGTAAAAACAATACTGTAAAAAAAATACCATAAAAAAAACACTATATAATGACTTTATGAATTATTTTATTGAGGAAGGAGATTTTATTGAGATAATACTACAACTTAAGAGCTACAAATCACCATAAAAATAAAAGTTATTATTAATAAGTAAATTGAATAATCTAATAATAATTATTAATAAATAATTTTTGAAAGGGAAAAAAAACCTCGGGACAGGACGGGACGAGACGACCCCGTCCTGCATCCCGTCTCATCCCGTCCTGTTTTTGTCCCGTCCTGAACTCACTGGGACCGAGACGGGATGATTAGGACGGAACAAATTGAACACTCCTAGAGCTTAGAACAACCTATGACACAAATAAATAGAAGACCTCAATTAATTTTGTGTCTAATATTACACAAAAGTATTTCAAGGAGATCATGTCACATTTCTTATAATTACCTAGTTTATCTAACTTCCATAATTATCCAAATCAACTAACTCTTATATTAAAATAGGCGGAAGTAATTCTTTTGTCATCATTTAAGGTTTAGAGATCATTAATTAATGCAAAACATTACTCCATATGAACTAAAATACCATGCAATTGTTTAGAAACAGAATGAAACATATGATAGAGAGTTTGAATGAGGATATGGGTGAAGGGAATAAATCCAATACTCCATCCAGCCCTAATAGAAGAGCTACTTAATTAATTTGAATAAATTGAGAAAGTCAAATAAATTAGTTAATTGTAACAAATGTGATATCATTTCCCTCAAACACCCCCGTATAACATTTATATCAATTTATAAGTTAAATAAATTAGCTTTAAAATAATAATAAATATGAGAGAGAGAGAGAGTATGAGTTGAAATTTTATATTTAAAATCAAATTTGACCCTCCAATTAGCTCTTAACGAACGGAGCATTAGAACTCTAAAATAACAATTTTTTTTTTAACAGAAATAGAGTTGTTGATAAAAGCAAGTGAGAAATTAAGTTTTGTACGTGTAGGCTATTTAGTGATCATTTTGTTGATCTGATCAAACAGTGATGAATATAAAGACTTAGTGGGGTGTAGTCATCGTGATAATTATATACATGCAGTGTATTGGGATCCATTCTGGTGATGCTGGGGTTATATATTCTTCTGTGGGGAAAGCACAAGGAGATGCAGAATAAGAAGACGAAGCTGGTCGTCGTCCAAGAAGCTGAAGAAATCAAAGAACAAGACCCACCAATTCAACAACAAATCACTGTTTCCTGTGACTGACGTTGTTCTTAATGTTCATTGAATTTAATGTGTTCCATTTCATCAATATCATAAAAACTTTGAAGCCTCCTCATTTAGTGTTTAAATTGAGAATCAATAATGGCAACACGGTTTCATCCGTCTGCGTCTTCCTTCTCAATTATTTTTTCATAAATATTATTGTTGTAAACGGAATCACACACACACACACACACACACATATATATTTACTCGGTTCAACAGTAAGATATATGTACGTGTGTTTATTTTGGAATGTAATTTCAGTTTTGTATTGGTGATTGGTATCAACGTTGAAAAGTTGCATAATAATTCTAGTTTTCGAATCTGTCTTACGCAAACCTTTATTTAAATTTTAGATTGGCCAAAGTGACTTTAGAGTCTATTCATGATGCGTTTGGTTAGTGACAAGGAAAGGAACCCAAAAAAAAAAGAGGAGAAAGAAGATAGTGTGATTCGTGCTGGGAAAAAAAAATAGTACACCTTACTAACAAGAAGTTGTTAGTTGATATAGTAAGCCGTCTCACCCTCGTAAAGAAAAAAAAATGAGTTCAAATCCCAAAAAAATATTTGCTGGGAGGATTTTAACTTTAATGCCCTATGCGCAATAGAATTAGTCTCAAGTCTAAAATAACTTGAGCTATAAGTTCCAAAAAAAAAATAGTACAACTTGTTCAAAATTTTTATTAACATTTTGATATATTGGCGACATATTATTTTTATACATCTATTTAAATATCGATCTATATTAATTGGTATTATAATATAAAATATAAAATACATAAAATGATGCATTATTCAACAGTCGTGGAAAGGCAATGTGTTTTTAATTCTTATTTTCATTCTAGTTCGTGCTTGGGTCTTTTTCTACTGACGTAGGTAGGCTATCTATGGTTCTATGATGTTTATTTGGCTTCTTAAATGTTCTGAAACGGCATTATTATTATTAATAGGTCTCAAAGAATTTGAAAATAATATGAAATTACCCAAAGACCCTTTGATCATTTTCAACAATACAAATGTCAACTTGTGACTGGTTGGCAATGATGGTTAAACCAGTGACGAGGGGGAGGATTAATATGGCCAAAGGACGTTTGAGTAGTTTCACATCTTTTTTAAAAAAAAAAAAATTGCTCTCAAATCCCTTGTGAACTATTAGTAATATCTTAAATTTAAAGAACTTATTGGTAATTAATTTCTTGATTTAAGACTTCTATATATTTTTCTTAGATCTCATTCACATACTGGATTTCCAATCATCTTTCCTCTCCATGAGAAGTTTCTTTTTTAGCAAACTTCTCTGGAGCTCTCTCACCGGTAAATTCAGCATCAACTTCAATTTTTATTTCAAATCTCTCCTTATACTAAATATGTAGAAATTCTCCAATTTTTGATATAAAACCTAATTAAATAGTTTGAATAGATTAAAGATGTTAGTTAAATTAGTTAATATGATTTTTTTAAAAAAATACCCTAAGCATCTTCCTTAATTCCCTTCATCCCTCTCTTACCTGATTATTGTTATGAGAATATCAATAGGACTAATTTGAAAAGAATAATTGATAAAAATGTGAAATAAGTCTTATATGTAGGGCAAATATCAACTCCCTAGTTAGTTCTTATATAAAGGATCGGAAAAGTATTTACTATTTTTCCTTTTTCTATGCACTTCTTGGAGACAAGTGCTGCATTAATTCAAAGGGAGACTTAGAAGCAAAGCGAATATTGCCTCAACCTAGATAAGTCAGTCAATTAAAAGGCAGAAGCAACTTCTGATGGCCGCTTCATGGCATAAAAACTTTCCTGCAAGTTAAAAGATAGACACAGGTCCAATATCAATTGTAATATAATTTCAGACAGTTAGTACCTGTCCCTCTAATTTTATTTTTTCAAAAAAAAGTACAAACAACCTATGACAATTTCATAAGAAATGAAAATGACAATTGGACTTTTTTTTCCCCCTCAAGAAATTAGGATTTTTGCCTTGTATCTCATCTGAGCTTATGTGTATCGAGCTTCTCATGAACAAGGATCTCATATGAGTTTTTGGAGGGTCTCCAACAATGTTGAAACAAAGGATACAAACTAATTGAACAAATGACTTCCAATTATTGGAGTTCTTCGTTTGATTAATGTGCGTTTGGTTTTGTGTTAGAGCTTGGTCAAAATGTTATTTTAATCAAAACAATATAAAAATAATTGGTTAAAGCGTAATTTTGGTGAAAACTAATAAATATCTCCAAAGAGAGATTTTAATTAATGCATGACAACACTATAACCCACCAGCATATCTTCAATGAAGCCAAAAATATACTTGCCACGTGCATTGTGTGAAAAACGATTCCTTCTTGATGGATTCATTACAAAAAAACAGACTTTAGGCAACGACTTTCGACGGCGACAAAAAAAGTCACCGCTGAAAGTCCACTTTCAACGGCGACACCAAAAAGTCGCCACTGAAACTAAGACTTTCAGCGGCGACTTTTTTAGTCGCCGCTGAAAGTTCGCCATTGAAACCAAGACTTTCAGTGGCGATTTTTTTTGTCGCCGTCAAAAGTGGACTTTCAGCGGCGACTTTTTTAGTCGCCGCTAAAAGTTCGCCATTGAAACTAAGACTTTCAGCAGTGACAAAAGTATTTTTATATTTTCAGCACTGAAAGACTTTTTGGCGGCGACAAATGTCGCCGCTGAAAGTGTTTTCGGCGGCAACACTAGTCGCCGCTGAAACTTCTAAAAGTCGCCTCTGAAAGTATCTTTCAGCGGCGACCTTTTTAGTCGCCATTGAAAGTTTTCAGCCACGGCTGCTACGGCAACGACTTTTCAGCGGCGACTTGTCGCCGCAAAAAACTTTCGGCGGCGACTTTTGTACTTTCAGCGGCGACAAAAGTCAATTTTTTTGTAGTGATTCTCATCCTAAACACTGTAGGAAAATTTTTTGTGGGCTCACACACACACACACAACAAACACAACAACAACAACAAAAAAGCCTTTTGTGGATTGTGATAATTATTTGATGCATTATTCTCATGATTCGTCGTTGGCATGTATGAAGTCCCAAAATGACCATAATTGGGTTGATCTGTTACCTTTAGCAGTGGGAATTAGTGCAAGAGACGGCAAATGGCCAGAAATGCAAAGATACCTAATTCAAAATAATATATATAATACATGTGTTAGGTATAAAGTGAAAAGTGATTTTATAAAGTCAAAAGTATATATATTCATGATAACACAACCAACATGGAATGGGAATATAATCTTTAATTTGTCATCTGTATATGACAATGTAATAATGCTGACGTGTTAATTAGCACTAATTTCATCCTAATTATTTCGTAAGATATAGATATCACTCTTTTTAGTTTTTAATATAGAAGTTAGTTTGGGTGTTTGTTTTGGTCTTAAATATAAGACCTTAATCTACTTTATTTCTCAAATTTATAATTTTTTTTCAAACTATCTTCATTAATTACATATATGAAAATGAAAGGCAGTTTCGATCAATGAGATAATAACCAAAGGAAGTATTTTAGAAAAACCAATGTATATTTATTACCATCTTATATTCAGGATGTGAGGGAGTATAATTTCTCATGAGGCTTTTTGAATACATAAGGAACTTCACTTTTTTACTTTTCAGCTCAGAGAAAAGAGTGTTCCTTATTCTAAGTCACCAAAGATATTCATTATATTTTTTTTTCAAAATTATTACTCCGATTTAAAGTTTGATGCAATTTTCTTTAATTTTTTCATTTCCCAATGTGTAATTTGTGTTTTAAATAAGAATAAATATGAATTTTTTTTAATTTTATTTTCAAATGAATGTATTATATAACCACCTTTTGTTGATTCTAATGAAGTGGTCGGAGATGCCTTACAACAAGAGCGGATCGATGTACTTAGTTTTTTGGGTTTATAACTAAAGTTCGACCAAATACACGGGGCTATGGCTCCCCACGAATTAAAGTACTCATGTGCTTCGTTCTAATAAGCACAATATGAGCCATCCCATTTCATCATTGATTAAAGCTAATGGCAACTCCTCCTCCATATTAATTATACGTATATAGAATCAAAATTATCCGTGTGTGTGTGTGTGTGTGTGTGTGAATTTTATACATAAAAAGAATAAAGACTTCTGGGGATAACATCAATGATACAAACAAGAATATAGGAATACATTATGACAATGATATTACAATTTTTACCTTCGATATAATATTCTTGATATGGTGTTCAATCACAATCATGCTTAACATCGATGAAAACCTCACTCGCATCTTAAAATGTATGCATAAACAATCACCCACAAGCCATTTTTTCTGATTGGATCCTAAAGTAATATAATGCGTTCAAAAATTTAATCAAACAAAAGGACATATAGTAGTAATTATTAATACTTTGACACTCCACTTTCCCTTAGGTGATGAATTAGACTTGTATCTCAATCAGAATGTCCAGAATGATGATCACTGTCACTTTTGGATCCTTCTTTTTCTTTCTTCTTCTTCCCCTTCTTACCGTGCTTCTCGGCCTTATGGTGGCCGGCCGGCTCGGTAAAATCCGAGATCTCGATGTTCACACCGGGATCATGGGCTTGGTAGCTTCCACTAAACATGATTGAATTGTTGACGGCCTGAAAATTGCTGTTCACATAAGTGCTCAATTCCTCCTCTTCTGTCTGCTTCCCCGAGTGATGGCTGGCCATCGGAATATTGTTGTCAACTTCGGTTTTGAAGGTGGCGCCGTCGTTGGTGCCGGCAAGGGTTATGATCCTAACACCATCATCATCATCTTCTTCTTCTTTATAATGACCTGATTTGTGAAAGTTAGCAACACGGCTGGTGATGGAAGTGACCATCTCTCTAATATCTTTATCAAGCTGTTTATGCTTCTCAGCTTCTGGGTTGAGACTTGATGATTGTGATGAAGGCATATTTAATTGTAAGGAATGAGAATTTTGTTCTTCTTCTCTATAACTGGGTTTTGAGGTGAAATTCAAATGAATGTGTGTGACAGTACATTAAATAAGTGGCTGGGAATAAAGTTGATGATGGAATTACTTCTATGTCAATTCAAGGATCGATCTGTGATTTATTCCAAAGAAGGAAAAAGGGTCCAGGAATTGCTTGAGGAAGAGTTTAACTCATATTCTTTTGTGACTCTTATGCTTGTCGAAGTAATAAATAATTTAAAAAAAAGAGCATTAATTGGTGAAATAAATATTAAATTCTTCTTCATCGTCCTTTTTTCCCATAACTTCTTCATCATCGTTTCTAATCATTATTAAATATTATCAAAATTAATCTCATGTAAGGATATAATTTATCCCTAATCTGTTCATGACCTCCTCCAATAAAGTAGAGACATATTCTACATGATTGAGGCTCCTCCAATAATGTAATTAAATCTTAGAAATCAAAGAATCAAGATATTAGATTAAGTATTTAAGTGTTAACTACTAAAACCAATAATTGTACATAACGCTTGATTATTGCGTAAATCTTTTAGTTTAATCTCACCCGGCCAGTTCCAATTAATGTTATTTTAATTTTAACTTCCAGTTAATTCAATATATATACTTGAGCGTTTGCCATGTGACAATTATTGTGGTCTCTCTTTTCTTTAATCATTGGTGTGCTAAAAATTAATTTAATTACAGAGAAACTCCAACTTTTTTTGAAATTAATATGCATGTTTTGCAACTTATTTAGAGTTTGGGAAGTAACCTATTTTATTCATGGCTTGTGAGTAATTTGCTTAATATATTGATATCAAATTGAAGTTGAAGACAGAGAACCTCATTTGGTACGATTTCTTTTTCTTCCACCCTTGTCCTTCTAATTATAGCTAATAATGGCCCATTTAATTGGAAGAATCTGTTCGAAAAAATAAAAAGGAAAGGAAAGAAGAGAAATACTGAACAGGAAGTCCTAGCTGATACAGAATAAACATAAAGAGTGTTTAATTTGACAGGTGAATTAATCTTTGGTTGGATAAAATGATGAAAAAGAAACTAGAGTAAAATATTACTATAATCTCAATTTAAAAATTATAAAATAATTTATTATAATTGCTAAAATGGGTCTAAACGACTTATTTTAAACAATCGTTATTAATGAAATATAATAAAGCAATTTTAGTCAAAAAATTATCATGGAAACGAGCTTTAATAAGATAAAGAGAAACTTAGATAACCAAAAATAAATTATAACAAATTAAAATTTTTGAGGTTTAGCCCAAACGGAGAAGTAACAAGAGTATTAGTCATCAAGAAGACAATGCTTTGAAATCCCTCCATTTTTTCCTGCTTTGGCAGGCTCCTGTAAATTAATTTTACTCCTATCACTCTACCAACCATGAGATAAATCTGACGGCTAAGATGAAGACACTTCCCAGGCCCCGCACCCAGAGCTGTGGAGGTGATCTGAGCTGATTCCACTCACTATCACGTTAGACACGTTATAGGTGCATGATTAGAATAATGATGACAGAGACATGCATTATGGGAATTAATTAATAATAACTTCAAATGACTCAACAAGATAACATAGCTGGCAAAAAAAAAAAAAGATAACATCGGAATCATTCAAATTAAATAAACACACTTTTTCTAATGCAAAATTAAACACACCAAAAGTAATGGTTTTTACACTTATTAAGTTATCATTGTACTATATCTGTGTGTGTGTGTGTGAATCTTGATCAAATGATAGCACCACATGTTGCTCTCCCAGTATGAATGATTGCAATTTGCATGCTCATCATCAAATAATTAAGGCCTTGTACTAATTATTAGTTATAAATTGATAACAACAATTTGTATGAATAATTAATAGGGATAAATTATTATAAAATATTAAAATAATCATAAACTATAAACAGTGAAGTCTTTGTGTAAAGCATAAATCCATAATTTATGAAATATAAAATCTATAGAAATTATGTTATTCAATATTCATATAATTCATATACTTCATTTAAGATTTGTGTACATGCACTGGCCTTCATTAATTAATATATTATTGCCTCCGGTGTTTAATATAAGACCTTATTTGACTTTTATTTTGGTCTTAAATATAAGATTTTAATCCACTTTGTCTCTCATATTTATATATTTTCTCCTAAGATAGTCCTTCTAATAATAGTAGTTCTAGCCAATATACTTAATTTGCAAGGATATTTTAGGAAAGATAATACCTATTTATTATAAATAACTAACTTAACTTACTTTTTTTTTTCCGTTACAAGGGAGGGGATCGAACCCCTACACACACCCCACACACACCCACCCATACCACTAAACCAAACAGTTCGGTAACTTAACTTATTTTTTTAATCTCCTCAAATTAGTCAACTAAGTCTTATAATTAGGATCCAAAGTAATATTACACTGCCTCCTATCTTTTTTTTTTCCCTAATAAAATTTTAGGAAGGGGGACATCCCTAGGCACCATGACAATCTCAAGAATTGAACCTCTCTTTTTGGTGAGTGTTCAACCTTTTAACTACTAAACCCATGGTACGATGTGTTATCTCTTGTCTTTAATATAAAAGTGAATTGGATATTTGAATTTGATTCTAAATATAAGGCATCAATTTATTTTGCCTTCCAAATATATAATTTTTTTTTCAAAATATCCCTATTAATTGTAAAGAGTTCCTGTACTAAAAAGTATTTCCGATGTATATGATTAAACATGATTTTTTAACACACATTTGTTACAAATAATTAACTTAACTAGTTACCTGAATACTACTAGATTAGTTATCTAATTGTTATATTAAGGACCAAAAAATAGTATAATGTTTATTAGTACATAAATTACATAGAAAGACAAAATAATGGTTTATTTTGTGGGTAGTGCGATTTGATTATTTGGGATTAACGATTTGAATACTTGATCTGGTTTCATTTTTTCGAAATTAAATTTGATTTAGTAAATTCAATTTTGAGTGCACTATTATATCATAGTTTTTTTTTTATTTGGTAATGTATTTCGATCAATGTACTATAGATATGCATTTCAAGTTTAATTAGATTAGATTCTTAACAAAATAAAAAGTGAATAATACCAAAAAAAAATGTACCAGGTGCATTATTTCACTCAATTCTCCTTTTATTTCACTTTTATTTTGAAATTAATTTACATGATTTCAATTTCAAAGAATCATCGCATAAGAATAAAAGAAGAGGCCACTCATACACATGTAGGCTCCACCTAAAATTTTTTGCATCACTTTTCCATAAGAATCTTTATCCAAATTAAAGGGAAGTACTTTTTTGCTTTCTTGCAGAAGAGAGGCATTTTTGCATGGATTCCAACAATTTAATTTTTAATTTCATGTTTAAACTACTCTTCCCGTCTTTAACATAAAATTTATTTAACTAATTTGATTAAATTAAAAAATAAATAAATTAGTTAATTATAATATATATGATATGTTTTTTCTAAAATATTCTAATAATCTTTCTTAATATTTTTCTTACATCTCCTATTCAATTATAGCTGAGGAAGTATCAATGAAATAATTTTAAAAAATTAATAAATATAAAAAAATACATCTTACACTTATTACTAAACACTAACTTCATAAGTAGGTTTTATATTAAACAGGGAAGAAGTATTATCTTTTTATATATAATTGTGAAATATCATTCTACGCACTAAACTGAAAGCTTTTGTCCCTTTCATTCAAATAACTTGCCGAAACCACTGAGTTTACACAAATAATTATTATCTAGTTACTATCATTTTACACCGTTTTCTAATGGGTAAATTGAGTTATGGAAATAAAAAACTTTCTGTGAAAGATATGATAAAGGTGTGAACTATGAAAAAAAAAAGAGAGGATAAAGATGTTTAATTACGTACAGTGATATTTTAGCGTCAGTTGTAATTTTTCATAATCTTTTTTACTATACTCTCCGCCCTTTTATCCATGCCATAAATCAAGCTAGATGTTCAACCGCATTAAGGTCCCTTTTTCCATGGGTGATATACAAACTCTAAAAGAGTTTTTTGCCAACAAATTCCAAAACATATTAGTAAGCGATCGTACATAAATTTTGTCCATTCAACAATATTAACTATTCCCTCAATTCTTTTTTATAAGAAACAATCTTTCTCGTAACGGTGACTTTATATTTAAAAAATAAATCTTTTTTATCGAGAACTTTAAATTAATCTTTTCACTTTTATTCTCATTAAATATATGTCATTTATTATTTATTTATAATAAATTTTTACTCATTATCTCTCGTATACTTTCTTTGCAAGCAAGAATATAATTAAAAAAATATGTATATATTTTAGATATTTATTATTTTTAACTAACATGTTAAACCATTGTTTCTTAAAGTTCACCAATTTATGTTGGGAATTCTTCGCCTTTTGTGCTTGTGCTACAATAAAAATAATCTCAAATCTATTTCTTATTACTCCTTCGATTTTAAATATAAGATCTTTATATATACTAGTATAAAGATTTTATATTTAACACCGGAGAAGTACTCAATTATAATAAATATTCTTATTATGATTTCCTTCTCATTCGGTAAGAATTAAAATCAGCAACCTTAATTGAAGAGATTTTGTCTCATTCGATGTAACTGCCTTTAGTACTCTATCTTATATTTAAATTTTAACAATTCCTGGATAACGTCCAAATCATCATCTGGCCCACGGATCACTATCATCATCATTCATTCCTTCACAAGCGAACATGCTAGAAAGTCAAATAGCCCATGCATATCTATCCCCACCGTCGCAACGCGGCACAACCAAACAACCAACATTAAAAATTATCCAATTTTCTGAAGATTATTACATAATATATTTGACTACATAAATCATTTTAACTAATTATTATTAACTCATTTAAATCTGTTTCCAATTATTTTTTTTCCAATTTTACCCAAACTAAATAAGATTATAAAGGAATAGAAAAATATAAAGAATTATATCCAAATATATATATAATTGCAGGAACAATATTAATAAAAAATATAAATTATTTTTTAAGTAACTTGTATTTTGAACCAAATGAGTTTTAGAAACGATATGGATTGAAGTACTAATTCACT